AGAAGCGAATGGCATAACCCGTGAAACCAGAGGGAAGAGGTAACCAGGAAGCCATCTCTCCGAGACCGCACATAACCAGATAGACGATGAAACCGACGAATGAGTAGGAGATGAGAATAGCTGCGGGCTGTGAATGAGTTAGTTTCTTTTTTTCTTTGTCTTCTATCTTTCACTGTCTCTCCGATGGTGGAAATGACTTACGCCAGCCCTAAGGTGAATCTGTTAGTACTTTGCCCTCTATGACTTCCATTGAGACCCAGTATTCCAAACTTACTTCGCAAGAGCCTCTCCCGTTCCAATAAGCAGACCTGTACCAATCGCACCACCAATAGCTATTGCGCTTGTTAGTCCAACAGCCTTGTCGATTCCCCAGTCCAGTGGGGAGCATACCAATCATAGTAATGTGACGAGCTTTGAGGGCGCGATGGAGCTCCGAGTCTTGCTCCGAAGCCAGCACGCCTTCTTCGGCCTGACCAATTTCGCGCGATGAGACTTTCCCGACGGGCATGCCCGTCGAGAAGTCATCCTTCTCGCCCAGGACTCCCATGTTGAAATTCCCGTTGGTTACTCTCTGATTGAAGACGGATCGACACTTGTGGCTAGTGAAAGGGAATTGTGTACACAAAGCCCTAAGCCAAGATCGGGAGATGAAGAGAGAGGGAGGTCGAGAAGGGAGGTCGAGAAGGGAGGTCGAGAAGGAGAAGTAAAGTAGAAGAGAAGTGAAGCGGGGGAGGGGAAGGAAAAAGGTTAAAAAGAAGAAGGATGCGAGAGAGAATTTAAAAGAGTAAAAGAGGAGCTGACGGGGGAAGCCGAGGCCTCGTCCGTCCAGATTCTGTGCAGGCTGATAAGCAGGGTCGCCAACGCTAGTCTGGAGGATTATTCTCATTATGCTCTGTTATTTGTCTGATTGCTCGATTTGTCCATGATTCATCCTTTTCGTTTTGATTTCCATCTTCATTTCCATTTCAATCTATTTCTTAATTTATTCTTATTATTATTATTATTAGTTCATTTGATTTTCCCTAAGATATACTCTCCCCAGACTGAAGTCGAAGCAACAGCTCAAACAAGTCAAAGAAACGAGACAGTCAACCGTCTGATTGGATGGCGTGCGAGGGACCCAAGCACGTAGGGTGGTAACCGTAAACTAAGGTCGGTAGGTAGCAATCCCACGCTGCACTAAAACTGTGACAGGGATCTCTAAATCATTTTCTTATTTCTCGCGTGGGGAGAGGAGAATGAGGAGCCAGAGAGGCAGGAATGGATGATGCCAAGAAAACAGTTGGGAGGCGGATGGTCTTGGCATGTTATCCACCCAATCAGCATCCGACTCCACATCAGTCTCGGTCTCCACTCCGGGGAAGAAAACACGGACGGGAAACCAAATACAGTCGAGTTCAACACCTGTGCAATTCGACCTGGGTTTTTTATTAGTCACAGAATCGGTCGAAAACGAGGTGGAAATTGGTCTGATCCTCCCAGCGGACCACAGCGTATCTCTTTGCGAAGATCACAATGGGGGGATTATGGGGAAACGTGGCTGATCAAATGCCGGTTTGGGTACCATATGATGATATTAGTATCCTTCATTCCTTACTATTCTCAGTATCCTAGATGAAGAGAGACGATCCTACTCGATGCAGCCGAAACATATCCGAAGCAAACCGAGCAGGTTGTGGAGAGAACTTGGATCAGGTCCAAGCGCTAATGTGCTGTGGTCATGAGGAGTACCTTCGTAGCCTGGAGTTGACGGCTGAACCCTGGTTGTCACCCCCTGTCACCCGAACCGACCCCTACCGCATCTTATTTTCCAAGACTTCTGGCCACACGAGGTGGTCTGACCCAGGGCACAATTCGAGGGTGCCTGGTCAGACTGATACGGAAGATAGGTATGTGGTGATAGAATGGATAATCCATAGATAAGTATGGGGCTGTATACTACAAAACAATACTTAATGGTACCCGATTAATTATTTCTGCCAGCACCCGTGACTCGATTAGGGTTAGATCTACCCGATGACCATCGCCCAATCACATCCCAACCTTCCCTTATCTTCCCCCGTATCAGCAGCCTGGAAGTCCTTCTAGAATATCCAAGTCCAAGCTGATACTACGGTAACTAAGTTTAGAGTCTCGCATCCCATGTGGTCTGGGATGCGTCCTGCATATCCGGACCTACTACCAACCCGATCTGAATTTTTTTTTCTCGGCTACTTTCATCCTGGTCGGGGCGAAATCCGAGGAGGAAAGGGAGCCATGGATTCCCTCCGGTGTCTTAGTGCGGCAAAGGGACGGGCTGGTCAGGACTAGTCTCTTTCCCCAGACGAGCATGAAGGTTCCCAGTCCCACCTTTTTACTAACAACCGTCTGTATCCCCCCTCGGGCTGACCCGGTGGGGGCGATTTTTAAAACTCCTCGCCCACTGATAGCATTGCTGCAAGGCTCTGGAGATTTCGTTTTGTCTTTTGTCTTTGTTGATGTATCCCCACTCCCTTGACCTATGACAGTCTGGGAAATTGATAACGCCTTCTCTAACCGAGCCCCCTTAGGTAAGAGAAATCCGCCGGGCCTGCACCCCGCCTTCTCTCGCTTCCCACTTACCACTTCCATGCTTATCTGGACCGACGGGATCTTGGAGAGGTGGGTCGGCTCCATAAACTCCGAGAGATAAACCAGCACACTCGGGCACACATTCTCGGGCAGAGAGAGTCTCTACTGTGTGTGTCTGAGAAATAACCGTGGAATGTGCCGGTACTAAGGTCAGGATCAAATCCCACATTTTCTTGAATCTCGGACCACCGGATACGGCTATCCAGAGTGATTAGTTCGGAACCCTAACATCTGCTCCTATCTCCCTACCAAGCAGACCCAGGCTATAGACTAGAGCATAAGTGTCCTCTGTCCGTAAATGCCGAGTTAATTCCATGAAGCGGCCCGCCCAATCAGAGAACCCTGACCCAGGCGGGATGCGGCGGAGATTCTCAACATAACCGGGTGCCAAGACCAAACCCTATTGACTTACCCTATTCTTTGGTTTGTGCTTGGTCCTGATTTGTGATTTTGGACTGTGGATTTCGGTATATCTTCTTGGCTATTCTGAAGTTTGTGGGATAGTTTGGAAGGACATGCTTATATGCCATAGGCCTTGAAGAGTTTGACCATGCTTTTAGGTAAAACTAGCCCCTAGGTTATCAGAACTTACTGATCACCACTGCCAAGGTCGATACAGACATCAGCAGGGAAATCATAATTAATGAATTATTATGTTTAGAGCTCTAGAGATTTTATCTATGGATTATCCATTCTATCACCACATACCTATCTTCCGTATCAGTCTGACCAGGCACCCTCGAATTGTGCCCTGGGTCAGACCACCTCGTGTGGCCAGAAGTCTTGGAAACGATAAGAGAGCTTGTGATTTATACCTAGTATCTTCAATAGTCATTGTCATGCTCAATCCATATATCGCTCTAGATTTTTTGCTGATAACAGTACGCACACAGCTCTACCAACAAAGACATCAAAATACAATAGCCATCCCTAGGCTTCCCCATGAACTAAACAGATTATGATGATCCTTCGGGTTCTCATTCTTTCTCTACCTCACTCACAAGCCACAACAACCCTATCAGGAGTCATGACCAGCCAATAAACAATTAATGCATAACCCGCTATCTCATCCATCCAGTCCCCACCGATTCACCGCTACCGTATTAGTGATAGTTGTGTAGGTCAAGGGTGGGTCCATTTCTATTATCTCTATCCAGATTTCTGGGTAACAGCCTAGCAGGGTTGTGGACAGCATGTAAGATTAAGATATCTACCCAGCCCATTAGCTTGGTTCTAGAAGAGTTTTCGACAGGTTGATCTACAAGGTACCGAGGCTTTTAGGCGTGTCATACTACTGTTCGTCTGCTTGTATTGGCTTACCTGGGTTTAGGGTACGGCTAGCATGCTGCATAGGATTATAGTGTAGAAAATTGGTGGTGGACTGGGGGTTGCTATTATTGCTTTTTAAAATTAGTCCTAGAACTTGACTTGATGCGGTCAAGTCCTGTTTTGTGTGTGTCTGTTTACCCTCTGAGATCACTGCAATCTGTTTAAGACATTAATAGATGGAGTATAGTCATCTTATCTAACTTATGGAAGGGTATCTTCTCAAGATCGCTACGCCAAAACGTTGACTAACGTTTGGTATAGTGCTTAACATAATATCCGCTGATATATTTGACTATAACACAACATAGGTGATATCAGATAGCATCTGTTGTATAACAGTGTCCAGATAATTGCCATTGCTTGGTGTCAAGTAATTCAAAGTGGGACTGATAGATTTTCCAAGCAGTGAGGTAATACTGGGATGCATGTCAAATGATTCCCTTCCTTCTACACGTAGTTCGTCAGAGAAGAGTAGTATTTGTTATGATTTTCCTTATTATCCATGCACTGTATAACACTCATACCATCACTTGGTAAGACTTGTCTACTTTTACTTGCGTCCAATACTGCTCTTGTCTTCTGAACTTTGACATCTGGAATTATATTCTGCATCTCTTCCGGCCTCTGCTCAATCAGTTTCCACAGGCTCTCCAGTCATTACCAGCTGCTTAATCGGGTCTACTCAGTACACTTTGATTTAATACTTAATTCTGTACAATAATGTCCAATAACTCTGAACTTGGCATTTGAGCATCATATGTTGAAGTTGGATACATTAAAGAATTGCCATGACCCTACACCAATGAGCTATGCGTGGTAAGCATAGTCTACCCCATCCGGCGAACTAGACTAAGCAGAAATTGACCCTATGTAGATGATGGGCTGATGCTGTGGCGATATGATGCCTTGTCGTGTGTATCTGGGTCTCTAATCTAGTGGTGACGTCAAGTTGACTAGCTAGCCTAGAGCTTCTTATAAGGCCTCCTCACCATTACCCACAGGCATTGTTCTTCTCACATCAATCCTTTCTTCTATAATCAACAGTTTATATACCCTTCAAAATGCAAGGTATGTCATCTTTAACTCGTGGATTGAGTCCATCTTTCCCCCACAAACATATCCCCAGCTAACCCAACCCACCCAGCCGTCTGGACACAGCGCTCCTCCGTCACAAGGAGCGACGCGAACATCGTCGCGATCGTCTTCGACCTCCCAGAAAACACCGCCGGCATTCCCAGATTCCACCTGGAGCCCATGAAGCTCACCATCAGATTCCACACCCGCGACTCCTCCTCCGCCGAGAAGGACCACCTGTACAAGATCGAGTTCTGGGAGGAGGTCGACGTGGACAACTCGAAACGAAGCAACGACTCGAGCAAACGGGTCACGTTCATCCTGCGCAAGAAGCAGCGGAAACTTCGCTACTGGCCTCGTCTGACCAAGGAAGAGAAGACTCCGTTCCCGATCAAGAAGAATATCGAGCATGTTAGTTTTCCCCTTTCTTTTCCTTCTTTTCCTGTGGGAGGTGTGTAGCTAACGGTGGTGGTTGGTGCAGTGGGTGGAAGAAGATGATCAGACGTTCCATCCTACGATCGATCTATCTTGGATAAACTAGGAGCTCTAGGTGCTGGCGCTCCGCGGTTGGTGGAAACATTAACGGTATATAGTACATACTTGGATTGGGCTTGGTTTCTCATCGTATATTAGTAGTATTCGCCCGTGAACGGGAATTATATACAATGTTAGCAGCATATAATCTGTACTACAGGATGGAATCCACTTAAATGACCTGTTTTGGCATACTGCGTGTATCCGGATAGTCCGAGAGTGTGACATCACACTGTGAGACAATACACGTTGTACTCTGGAGATGCGCTGGTTGATCAGCCGATGAGTTGGCTGTAATTCAGTACAGCCGATGAATGTATGTATCAGATGATAGATTCTGATCCATTTGAATCTGGTCTATTCTTACACTGTCCACTGTCCAGGGCGTTGATCGACTGTAGATGATCTGATCTATGAGGCAGATCATGTGACTGAGTCAGCCAAGACCCACGCTCGATCTCTCGATCTCTGGATTGCTCCCCGCTTCGTCAAGAAACACGTTCGGACTTGTTTCAAGAGGCTCAGATCAAAAAGAGAAACAGAGTTAATTAACCACACTAACCAGGGAAGAAAAGAAAACAAAAAGACCAGACAAAGGATGGAAGGCAATGTCCGTCCACCAATAACACTCCAGAGACAGAACCGGCGATACGGATGGATCGGCGTCAGCAGGATGAAAATACACCACGAAGGATGATTAGGCTGCGGACGGGCTCACGACTGGGATACCCGGATGCAGCAGGATGACCAGTATAAATCCTTAGGGAACGAAATCCTGGTAGGAATGCGGGGCGATGTGAAGAAGAATGTCGTTGTGGTGTTTACCCAAGTCTCCAGTTGACGACGGTTCTTGATCATCTCTTTTCTTCTTCTACCTTTGGACCTGTCATTCCTAATACATAATCAAGGGACTGGAGATAAATTTGGAAACAGGCAGCGACCATTGGGACCATCCTTGGCGACTTGTTGTTTCTTCCACGACCGGCTAAACCAATTCGAATCAAATTTGCCCCCCTTTGACCCTCCCAAGAACGAATAGCAGGTTGGATCTAGGCCTTGGCGTTCTCCTTGGCTGCTTGGCTTTTCGCCGGTAATTGTCACTTCAATTTACTTCCCAGACTGTGATCCCTATCCCCCTTTCATCTCTTCCCCCCTTCATAGACTACGTTCTAGCCGTTGTTTCCTCTTCTTTGGTGATCTTTGGTTTGCCCCCCCCCGCAGTCCGGGCGCCGATTTCGCTTCCATCGACTGGAACATTGTTTACCATCCATCCACGCCCTTCCGGACCGACCGACCGATATCTCTTGACGAACCGCGGTAATACAAGAAAAGCAGGGGGAATGCGCGGTTTGGGGCTGCGACGCCTCTGCAGGGCCGCGCTGCTGCTGTTGCAAGCGCAGGCGGCCCTGGCAGATATCACCATCGAGGTGAACAGTAAAGGTATCATTTGGCTACACACCTCTCGCCCTGGCGAGGGTTTCCGGCAGGGATACTAAGATTCCATGTTGGTTAGATTCGTTAACGAAGGCCGGCACGGCCATCGCCGACCCCATGATGCAATTCTACAAAGACAACCAGACGGAAGGGATTCCGGGGAAACTCACCGACACTTGGTATATCGCTGGGAGCATGTTCATGACCTTGATTCAGTACTGGCACGCCTCCAAGGATGATTCATACAACAAGGTCGTCTCCCACGATTTGATGTTCCAGTCCGGAGAGAACTACGATTATTTCTCCTCCAACTACAGTCAATGGCTGGTAAGCTTTGCCCCCGTCGTCGCCGTAGTGGGAAGGTCCGGACGCTCATCGAAGACGATCAGGGTAACGACGATCAAATGTTTTTCGGATTGGCCGCCATCACGGCTTCGGAGACCGGGTTTCCGGGGATCGACGGCAAGCCGTCGTGGACATCGCTAGCTCGGGCTGTGTTCAACATGCAAGTGGGCCGATGGGACACGACCACCTGCGATGGGGGAATCCGATGGCAGATCTGGCCTTACCAGGCCGGATACACGATGAAGAACTCCGTCTCCAACGGCGGGCTCTTTGAGCTGTCCGCTCGACTAGCCCGGTTCACCAAGAACGACACGTACGCCGACTGGGCTGACAAGATCTGGGACTGGTCCGTGACAACGCCTCTGATCAATGAGAAGACCTGGTTCGTGGCGGACTCGACCTCGAACGAAGCCAATTGTAAAGATGCCGGCCGGACGCAGTGGACCTACAATTACGGTGCCTACCTCACCGGCGCGGTGTTTATGTACAACTATGTTAGAACCTGCCCCGTCCCTGCAGTCACGGGGAATGTTCCCTCGGCTAACCTCTTCCCTAGACCAACGGCGATGCGAAGTGGGAGAAGCGGGTCGACGGGCTGCTCGGGTCCACCCTGAAGACCTTTTTCCCGCAAAAGTTTGGCGGCACTGTCCTGTCCGAAGTAGCCTGCGAACCCATCATGACCTGTGACCGGAATCAACTCGGCTTCAAGGGCTACCTAGCCATGTGGCTGGCGTTCACGGCAATTCTCGCCCCCAAGACCGCCGAACAGATCATCCCTAAGCTCCAGGGCACCGCCGTCGCCGTGGGCAAACAATGCTCCGGAAAGTCGGAGAACCTCTGCGGGAGCCGGTGGTACCAGCCCAGCTGGGATGGCATCGAAGGCCTCGAAGTCCAAATGGCCGCTCTGGGGGCGATCACGTCCAACCTGATGGTCATGGAGTCCCAGAGCCCCAACACCATCGACACGAATCCCGATGCGGGCGAACACCAGATCGACTCGGGCGAAGACGACGATCCCAACAAGTTGGATCCGATCAACACGGGTGACCGCGCGGGCGCATGGATCCTGACTATTATCATGGTGATTGCCATTGGCGGTGCGGTGGGCTGGTTGATCAAGTCATAGCGGTCTTGTCTCGGACTTCATTAGCGTCTGGCTGTCCTCCCTGGAGCCATACCATCTATTTGTAACTCTTATGGCCTTTGTGGGGATGTAGGGGTCTGTCAGGACAGACAATTTGCATTTCTCTGTTTTTCGCCTTCATATAATTTCACCTCATGGACACAGGCAATGATAAAGGAAGGCCTCATTCTTCCCAATCATCTATCTGGCGATTGTCCGTTATACCCGTGTGTTTTCTTATATACTGTACAACTAGATTGATCTCAAGGGGGCATAGTGCATCGATCCTCTTCTCTCAAGCTTCATTTCCAAACCACATTTCCCAATTGATCAACTTCACCCAATGTATTTCTCGGATTCAATATCCCCAATCTGGCAATCGGTTCTTTGAACCCGAAGTGGACATGCCAAGAAATATCTCAACCAGCCAAATGATCGACAATGATGACTTCACTTTCTTCCTTCTTCCCTCCCTTCGTTCTATACATTTACCATCCCACTGCTTTTACCCAGGAAAATACCATGCTTTCTTACTTCTTACCTATATATTGCTCCAAAATGAACTCTCATTTCTACCAATTGACCTAAATATTTAGAAAAGGCCCTCCCCAAATCCTTGCAATGGCGGCAAACCTCTTACCATGCCCACCGAATCCCACCTCGACAGTCTAGCCAGCGCAGATTTCTCGTCCTGTCCCCCGATATTCGTCCTCCCAACACATCTCAGTCTGGATGAGCTACATGAAGTCGAAGAACGCCTCACCCAGCGAGGTGCGCACCTAACCTACAATGTCGCCGAGGCGCAGCTCTTCCTCGGCAATATCAGCCAGAAGAAGCGCGCTGCGTTGGAGCTGAGGTCGCGGGGGCTCTGGACGGAGGAGCGCGCTGGGCTGGCACGAGAGCGTCCGGCTGTGAAGCGAAGACGTGTTGAGGAGGGTGGGCGTGCGCGAGTCGAGGATCGTGGACCCGATGAGGTCATTGATCTCAGTACGGAGACGGAGGATGAAGCGGACGGGGTGGAAAGTCGCCATGATCCGGGCCGTCATTTGAAGCGACCAGCGCCGTCAAAGTCCAGTCCGGAATTGGAGGCTGACGGCCTCCGAGTCGTGAAGCTCGAATGGCTGGACCGGTGTGTGGAGGAGCGTCAGCTTCTCCCCGTTGATTCATTCGTCGTGTACCAAGCTGTCAAGATCGAGCGTCCGGACGCAAAGCCCGCCGATCCAGCCAACGCAGTGAAGGGCATCCTGCAAAGAGCCAAAGAAGATGCTTCCAAAGCGGGCACCATTGTCTCAACCCTTCCAGGCAGACGGCCAATGGACACGAGTCCCTCGTCGCAGCGCCCCCCTCCCAAACTATACCGCCAGACCACATCCGAGAACGAGGAAGCCGTACCTCTGCCTCCCGCACCGGACTGGGTCAAAGAGCGCGTGATGTACGCATGCCTACGCTCCGCGCCGCTCCACCCGCCCAACGAGCGGTTCATCTCGCAGCTGCTCAAAATCCGCACAATCCGCGAGCTAACCCTCGACGAGATCGGCGTCCGCGCCTACAGCACATCCATCGCCGCCATAGCCGCCTACCCGTACAGCTTCCGCCGGGGTTCAGAAATCCTAGCTCTCCCCGGCTGCGAAGCCAAGATCGCGCACCTCTTCGCTGAGTTCCAGCAGAGCGAACACGGCACGCTCTCCGCAGCCGACGCCCTCACCACGGACCCAGCCCTGCGCGACCTCCACACATTCAACCAGATCTGGGGCGTCGGGCCCAAAACCGCCCGCGACTTCTACTACAAGCGCGGATGGCGCGACCTCGACGATATCGTCGAACACGGCTGGGACTCGCTGTCCCGCGTGCAGCAGATCGGCGTGAAGTTCTACGACGAGCTCCTGATAGGCATCCCACGCGCTGAAAGCGAAGAAATCGCGCGCACTGTCCGCCAACACGCTAACCGCGTGCGCCCTTCCGCCGATGGCAGCCCCGACAATGACGCCCGCGGCGTCGAATGCATCGTCGTGGGCGGTTACCGCCGAGGCAAGGAATCCAGCGGCGACGTGGACATCATCCTTAGCCATCCCGACGAGTCTACGACGCAGGATCTCGTCGTCGATGTCGTTGCTAGTCTTGAAGCAGAAGGCTGGATCACGCATACCCTTGCGCTTCACACGATGGCTTCAGCCCGCGATCAGCATCCCCGTCCTGCTCCCCACGGCGATGGCTTAACCTCGTCTTCTCACTTCGACCACCTCGACAAGGCCCTCGTCGTGTGGCAGGACCCGCACTTCGACGACAACGATCACAACGGCGACAATGATAATAACAATGATAATAACAAAGAAGAACACGACCGCCAACGCCGCAAACGCAACCCCAACATCCACCGCCGCGTCGACATCATCATCTCACCGTGGCGAACAGTCGGGTGCGCCGTGCTAGGCTGGACCGGCGACACGACATTCGAGCGGGACCTGCGGCGGTACGCGAAGAAGGCGCACGGCTGGCGGTTTGATTCTAGTGGCGTGCGCCAGTACCCGACTACTACGGGGCAGGGGGCGGTTGTTGATTTGGAGGGGAGCGGGGAGACTTGGGAGGAGAGGGAGAGGTTGGTTATGGAGGGGTTGGGGGTGGGGTGGAGGTTGGCGGGGGAGAGGTGTTCGAGGTGAGGATATACTTTTTTGTTTATGCTGTGGGGTACTGTTTTGGTGTTGTATACACTTGTCTATATCTAACCACTATATTTCTATCTGTATCTATACATACTGTGAAACTATTCTGATTTCCAAAACGGTTCGATTCCTTAAGCTGTTCCTTAAGCTGCTGTACATAGACCTGGATACGGATCTACAGTGTTTTGTACTCGCGTCAGGCCCAGTTCCACCGTATGCAATACCTAACCCATCTTCTTAATTCCACCGCAGCACGGAAAGAGGGGGAACGAGTGTATAATCACACAGTTCATCTACAAGAAGATATACACAGTTACCACCAGCTTTTCCGGATCTGGCCTCCCCCCCTCTTTTATCGGATACAAGCCGTCCCCAGGCTTGACTGACCCACAATGCTGATATACAGCTTACATGATTCCCTCTACTTGTCCCATTTCAAGATTGCCTGTCGTAGATCGCATCTTCGCTCCCAATAATGCCGATCATGTGTGCCATGTATGCAGTGGGATCGTCCGGATGGCGACGAAATTGCGCCCGGAAGACAAACCCATTAGCATCAATGCCTCCGTGGTGATTCCGTTCCTCATCCTTGTCATCGTCGCCGACTAACATTGCACAGGAATGTGGTTCAGTGAGGTTTGAAACCATCCTCCATTTTCCACACGATGACAAAATTGAAGGTCCATCGAATTTCTGGTCTGCTGCGCCTGGCGATACAACTCTCGTAGGAAGACCATCACCCCAAGAATGGATCATTCGCAGGTGAGGGGTCTCTTATAGATTGACGCTGCCTCTGGTATCGATCAAGATTGAGCACATCCATGACTAGCTAAATCCGTTGGCATGACATTGCAGATTATTGAGGGCAAAAGGATGGCTGATCGCAGTAAGGTTCTTTGAGCTGTCTTGCAAGATCATGGCGACGGGCGTATTTGATTGCAAGTCACTTCCTGTATATGAATGGATATGGGCACCCTCAGATGCCTGCTAACCATGGATGAGCCAACGCCTGGCGTGCTGTAATGCGTTTCGCCGGGTCAAGATTCGTCAGGCCACTGATAAGATCTTTGAAGTCTGGATCTGTAATTTCGGGCCACTCGGCAAAAGGCCTGTATGGGATGTGCTCTTCTAGCCTTTCATCCCATAACATCTGCAAAGCCTCACGACCGAACTCATCGTCCGCGAGATGCTTCGACAAGCCATTAATTCCCTCCGGATCTCCGAAATATGAGACCTGACGCTGGAGACGAATGAAGATAGGAAGTGCTCCCTGCGCATGGTGCTTCTCAAAATCTTCATCGGGCCCGAAGATGACGCGACCGAGAACAGCGTAAATGCACTATTCGAGTCAGTCGGTAAATGTCTTCTTCTCGTGACGGCAAAATATCCACTTACAACAATACCGAAGGAGAATATATCCGTCGGTTTGTTTAGCTCGCCCTTGAAATGTGCTTCGGGGCTGCGCCAGTTATCATTTCCAGCCAGCATGCCTTTGATGCATCGGCCTTTCGGAAGGTAAGCGGCATTTTCGAGATCGATGAGTTGAACCCGTTCGACAGAACCATCTTTGCGGTCGCAGTAACTGTCAACCATAATATTATCCGGTTTAATGTCTAACAATAGTTAGTGCTCGCGTTAAACACAAAAGTGTGGAGAAAACCAATGACCTAGATGAACAACATTCTTGTCATGCAACTCCGCAATCCCTAGCAAACTAGCCTTGAGGATCTTCTTTCGGGCTCGCATCGGTATTTCCCTCCTGACGAGATCCAAAAAGTCGTCCTTCAAGTACTTGTAAACGAGAACCCGTTCGCCTGGTATAGCGTCATGTGGTAGCCGTATATAGGGGCTTTTGTTAAGCTGGGGTTGTATTCTTTCATTGAAGTTGGAGAAAATATCTTCCGGTACATCTTTCAAAATGAATTGAGCTGGACCTGACCTGGAGTGTGTCAATATATGGAGAATCTTATGTGCGACAAAAGAGCTTTCATACTTTGCCAGCCAGACACGACCCAGATGAGGTCTTTCTTGAATCAAAGACTTGAACTCGTAGCGACGTCCAGTCGTCCCAATCAATTCTTTACGTGCAGATGCCATCCTTGCGACGGTCCCCCGGAACATTCTTATGGAAAAACCACGTTTTCGAAAGGAAACAAGAGAGGTTTCACCACAAGGGAGATATATCAGACGAGGCCCGGTCGTTTAGAGTGACTGGTGAGATGGCGAAATCGGTCGCCTAAACCAAGATAAACAGGGTTATCGGGCCGAGTCGTCGTCTGCCGTTTCGAAGACGATGTGTGGGGTAGATTTAAAAAAAAAAAAACCGTGTTGTTTGGGCCTGCGATATGGTAGGGGTCTAATCCCAGTGCAGCTGCTCAGATAGGACACTGCAGTACGGGGGTAGATAGTGCTAGACAACGCAGTTCACCATGATACCATCGCCTGTTGAAGTAGGCCTTATGCCATCGCCGGTCTAACCAAGTTTGGGAAGACAGGGGTCCGGGCCCCGTCTGGGCCCAGCGGCCCCCCGGCCGGGCGCCCGCATCCGGGCATTTGTTGGTTCGACCTTTCAGGTTCGCGCTTGCGATGAAGGAAGGAAGGTAGGGATCTCGTCTCCACCAATAAATCAATTTATCCTTCGAGCTGACAATCCATACATACGTTGGTCTCAATTGAAGCCGCAATTGCGAGGTGTCCATTACCAAGGCCTCTTTGAAGTAACGGCTGGCTCTGTGCCAAGTCAGAAAGAGCAATTTCATCTACGAACATCTATGAGCTAGAGGCAAGCAAATCTGACCATAGTCCAGACTAGCGTTTTCGAGTGGTTGACAGGTCTACAGGGTTACATCTTGTTGAAATATCGAAATGTTTAGAAGATGCTATTCGATACATGCAAAGAATCACTCCGTTGCAGGAGTCCATGGCTGCCACTTTCTGAGAGCCAAGAGAATGTAAGACGGATATAACGAAGTGCAGGCACATTGAAGCTCGAGACAATTGCTCGCCGCTATCCCTCGCTCCTGCATATTGCGCGAAAACTAGAGACCCCAGCCATGCTGTCCATACTCACTTATAATAGTGCTTTGATGCAATGACTTTATCGTCCTTGTCGAGTTCAAAGGCGGAGTAGTGTCTTGCGGCATCATTGTGACTCGGGTGCTCAGCCTCCCTGTCAAAGTGTTAGAGGTCCAACTTACACTTATCAGCATCATCTTACCTCATGGCAACCGTTACGGTCTCAGGTTTCAAAGTCTCTTTGTACTTTTCAGCAACCTCGGCAAACTCGTCCTGTACATTCTGAGCGAGAAAAGGTCGATTCCATGCGTCCGTTTCCTTCACATAAGCGATGGCGATCTCTTTTCCCTTTGCGGTTATCATGTTTTTGAACCTTCTACTGGCTCTGTACATCTTGACAAGATTTAGCAGAAAGGAATCGTTGATAATCCGAACAAACAATTAAGATAGATACTTTGGACCAGGTAAATCGTTGCGACTCTCAAAAAAGAGAGATTCGGGGCTGGACTGTCGACCTTTTATATTGCATCTGGGGGCTTCAGGCATCAAACACAGCTGCGGAGATAAGCCGCCAGTAGTCTTGAACACATGGCCTGTTTAATAGTGACCAAAATCTTATATTTGACAACAATGAGGTGCGCCAATGGTGGAGAGAGCTCGTACTTCATGTACATGGACGATGGCGTTTCATTTCCATGTTGGGTGTGTGGGGAGGGGACCTTGTTTGTGTCTGGCGATGAGGGCCAGTGCCTAGACGCCGGCTGCCGCCTTCTCGCACAAACGAGTGGCGGACAATGCAGAGGCCAAGAAGTACGTACTGGACGCGAAGATGAATTTGGATTGACAGATAGCCGCCAAAAACCTGGGACAATTGAACGGCACTGGATTGGGTGCAGGAGGCTGTATAGTGACTGGGAGTAGGAAACACTTACTCGTGGCCCCAGGTGAAGCAAGGGCGAGGCTGTATATCGATTGGTAAAGAGCGGATGTGGCTTAAAGCCCTCTGTCAAATGTTTGTTTGGTTCATATTAACCATCCTTGCTCTAAATCTACTATTTTAGATCCACATGACAGTCCCTTTATAGACTGTAACCGCCGTTGCATTAGCCTGTGATCTAATATGCACTCATAGCAGTTGATGGCCAAGATTCTAATTCAGATCGGTGTTCCACAGAATATCCCACCGCGTCAATGTTTCCTCTCTGATTATGATACCGCAGGTTAGGCTAGTGTACTACTCCTATAAAATATAAGGAAAGCGGGAGTTGCCCGAGGCCTTAGATACATTCCAGTCCAGCTTGGGCCTCATCACAGAAATATTAGGTTGGTCTGGCATTTGTTTTTTATGAAGGCTTACAGGAGGAAGTATAGGCAGTGATATAACAGCGTTCGAGAGCGAAGTGTTGAGCCAGATATGGACGGAGTAAAGGCAAGTAGCACTTTTGTACCGGCCGACCAGGTTAGCTTAAGGGAGAGGAGAGGCTGGATCTGGCTAGAGAGGAAGCATTTTAACATTACTTCGGGGTCATTGGTTGACACAAAGAAAACATTTGCTGTGTTTGAGCTTGGGGTTTAGTTGAAGGTAGTATGGATATAGCTCAAGTGAGTAGAACAGTGTGGATGGAAATGCGGCCGTAAACAGCCTCAAAGTTGTCATATTTGGCGTCACGTTCACAGGTCCTCATAGTCTTGTTGTAGTATATACCCGTCAACCGCACTCCACTCACTCAAATAACTCACGCCATACCCGACAGCATAAAACGGGGGTCTTTTGTTTGATATCACCAATTTCAACATTGACCGTGGTTAAGAAGACAGCATCGACCGTAGCTAAGATGACCACGAGTGGGAAAAGAGAAAAAGATAAGATAGTAATATAAGAAAATAAGAAGATAGATGATATGAAACCAAAAATCAATACAAGATCCGCCTGAAATGCACACACAATACAGCTTCAATCAGCAGATGGACAAAAATAAGAGAACAAGAAAGTAAGTAGTAAGCGGTGTGAGAGAGGAAAATAGAAAGCAAGATCAATAACAATAAACCAATCATTATACGAGAGCCCTCGAACTCGTCATTTCACCATATCTACCACGTCCCCGCGTCGTATCGTACGCGTTGACCACGCGCATCTGCCCGCCCTCGTCGGCCTGGCTGAATGCGTAGCCGCGCTGTTTGCGCATGCGCTGCACCTGCCGCACCTTGCGGATGGCCTTTTGGAACTGCTCCATCCGCGGCCGGTAGTCCTGGACGTTGTACTTCTGGATCTCCTGCACGTGGTGGTAGTGCTGCGGGTAGTACATGCGCTTGGCGTACTTCCAGGCGTAGTCGCGCATGAGGCACAGGCAGGGGAGCACAACCGCCATGAGGTAGAAGATTGGGGAGGTGAAGATCCGAGGGACAGTGCCGTAGTATTCTTCAGAGAATCCGATCGCCGGCGCTGCGTAACCGTAGGCCGGCAGGAAAACCAACCAGATGACCATCGAGCCGGGGATGGCAATGAACGTGTACTTGGTCCAGATGTTCGTGATCAGCGCGGCCTTGCCGAGCACCGTGGCCAGGACCGCGGTGTACAGGGCGGAGCCCCAGACCCAGTGGCCCGCTGTTCTGCCATCGGCTTGCGGGAGGTCGTAAAGGAAGATCAGCTGCGAGAAGATGTAGAGGATCAGGGAGTGGTAGAAGCCGTTGAGGATCCACGACCAGAAACTGTGCCGTTTGAAGAACACGCCCTTCTGCCCAAGCTGGTACAGCTGGGGATACCGATCCAAGAGTCGAGCGGAGATGAACTGGTCACAGATGCCCATCGCAAATGGCGGAAGCACCGTGAAGAAGACGTTGTAGAAGGACAGTGTCCACGATTCGTAGATAACTTCACCGGAGAACGCATTTTGGAACGAATACTGTCACGCTTGTTAGCATGGAGGGACATTCGAGGAGATACGGTTCCACCCACCCAAAACTGCGTCATGTAAAGCGCAATATTCTTGTAGAAGGAATACAAGATAACTCGACTGATCCGGTGATAGCTCCAAGCACCATGGACAAGGAGCAGCTTGCGAAGGAAGCGGAACTGCGCGATGGCAACATCTGCAGACCTGGCGGCTTGGAGACCTTCGACACCGCTGATACCAACACCAACATGAGCGGCTTGGATCATAGAAACGTCGTTGGCCCCGTCGCCAATAGCTAAGAGAAGGGACTTCAGATGGCGCTTGACAAGCTTCACGACCAGAGCTTTTTGAAGCGGGGAGACACGACTGGTAAAACGTCAGTTGGCATGACCTTGCACGTAACACAAAAGAGGGAAGAGGAAGCAAATGATAAGCTTACCAACAAATCACAGCCTTGCACATGACAGCCAAATCCAGGAACAGTTTCTCCATGTCCTTTTCCAGGGCGAAAGTCAGGGATCGACCGTCGATGACGAGGGCCAACGGTTCGGCTTCACCAGCAGCACTTTGGCTCTGGACGGCCTGCATTTTCTTCTGGATGTTATCCCGTGTATCTTGAGCGGAATCCTCGTTCACGATCAACAATGTCATGTCTTCCGAGATGAGCTTGCAGGACATGCCAATGTTGATGGCCGTTTCCTGTCGATCACCGGTCAACACCCAGACCTTGATTCCCGCAGTCTGGAGGGTGTGGATAGTGTCAGGAACACCATCCTGCAGTTTATCCTCAATTGCTGTTGCTCCCAGAAGGAAGAAGTCCTTCTCAATGAGCTCGGCAGCCTTGTCCAGCTCATCCTGACGGTTTCCACTGACGGTGGTGGCCGCCTTGTCGAATATTTGGTACCATTGCTGGAACTCGTCCTCTGAGATTTCACGCATCGCCAGACACAGCGTCCGAAGACCGTCCGATGCATACTCTTCCAGATGTTGTAGCGTCGCCTCGACGATAGGGTTGTGTGGGTTCAGACGTTCGAGGATGACCGTGTCCGCGCCCTTGGTGTAGATGCGGATCTTCCCATCGGGACACCTGAAAATGGTCGACATCCGCTTTCTCGTCGAGTTGAACTCGCACACCGCGAGCAGTTCGTATTCATATTCCTGTCCATCGGCTTTGAAAATCACAGACCGAGGTCTACGGTTCGTGAAGCGATAACCCAGCGTGGCAGCACCGTCGACCAGGGCACCCTCGTCGGGAGACGCCGCCTGATATTTGATCACGTCGGGGTCCTTGTCCGACTTTTCGGGAATGACCGTATGGCAAGTGGCAAGTAACGTGAGGAAATGATGGATCGCTCCGGATGACGGATGGGATTTGAGGTTCTCCTGGAGCTGTTTGAAGGGGTGGACGCCGACCTCGACCCCGTCTTCCACCGTGGCTCGTCGGTCCTCCGGGACATCTTCACCGTATTGAATGCCAGCGATCGTGCATTGCTTGAACTCCATCATGTTGCAAGTCAGGGTGCCAGTCTTGTCGGAGAAAATATACTCGATCTGTCCGAGCTCTTCGACCAAGGACGACGTCCGGCAGGTGGCGGGAGTATCCGTCTTGTCGTAGTAGATGTCGAGATCGGAGTTGATCAGGAACGCCTGGGCATACTTCACGATCTCGATCGTGACAAAGAGCGAAATGGGTACCAGGTTGGAGTAGAGGACCCAGTAAGTGAAGATATCTAGAACGAATTGCTTGACCGGGTGCGTGTTGCCGTAGTCCAAGTAAACCAGCTTATCATGCTGCGTCTGACGGATGATCAGGTCGCCGACGGAGCTGATCACGCTAAGGGCAAGCAGAATGCTGACCAGCATCAAAATCTGTATGTTGACCATGCGCTCCACTGCCGTCCGCTTGATCGGCGTCGCCGTGGCATTGCGCATCAGTTTGGTTTCATGACCGGTGAAGACCACGATTCCGTGCACCCACGGCGTGTTCCGCAGGGTCGCTCCTCGAAGGAGAAGCTGATCCGGCGCTAACGGCAGTTCCTTCTCGCCGCCTCCGGCGTGCATGGTCAGGGTCGCTTCGTAGGTGTAGAGACTGCTGTTGGGCTGTTCGGACCGGATCCGACCACTCAACCTGCTGAGGTCCGCTTGGCTGACGAGGTGAGCCGTCTCGGGGATCGCCTGCTTGATCTTCAGGTTGGTTTCTCCATCCAGGTTAGCGGTTTCGATGTAGCATAAGCCTTCCGGCTCCGAGGAGGCCAAGAGCACCATGTCGGCCGGGAACGGTTGTTCGGACTCGACGCGAATGATGTCCCCGACTGAAACATCGACCCACTTCGTCTCGTGGAAGGCCGAGCCCTTCAAGACCTGCGTCTTGGAGTAGTTCAGGGACTTGTCCGACGACCTCCGCTTGTAATCCTCCACCAACTCCTTGATGGCAGAGACCAGCAACACGACGATGAGCGGGCCGATAGTGGTGTATCGATTGGTGGGCGACACATTCGGGATCTGCTGCAAGACCGCGGTGAACAAGAAAAACAAGTTGGCGTATTTGGAGAACTGTTCGAACAAGAACTTCGGGATGAAGGTGAAGACGTTGTACTTGGCCGTGGACACATGGTTGTTGACGAACTTGTGGACCGCGTTGGCGGGCGGATTGTTCAAGACGATGTTTCGAGGACCCAGGGTCGAGGGGTCGACCTTCCGCCGGCCAAAACCGAACTTGAAGCCGGGCTTTTTGGCCTTCCTAGGCGCCCCGGCCGCAGCGGACTCATCAGGTTCAGCGCTGTCGATCCGTGTGGCACCGGCCCCATGTTCCGTCAGGGGAAGGTCCATCTCCGAGTATTCGGGGCCCATGCCCAGCATGCTTTTGGCCCTCCCCATCAGCCCGCCTCCTAGACCAAGGATACTGTTCCGCTCCTTGGCCTGCCGCACGCGGTGATCGGCCAAGCGGTCGTCCCCATCATCCATGTAGTAGTCGTGCATCGACCGGTCGTCTCCATAGTCGTCGACTGAATAGCGCCTGTAGTTGTCCAGTCCGGAGGTCTGCGAATAGGATCGAGACATGTCGTTGCCTGAATACGGGTCGCTGACGAACGAACCCGCCTGAGACGGGGCATGCGCCCCGGCCGTCAGATGGACACCGGTATGCGATGGGACCTGACCGCCGACGAAGTTGTCGTAGGACACCGAGGGGCGCGGTTGGAGGTGGTCGGAGTCGTCGATATCGTACCGTCGCAAGAGGTGTTCATCGTTAACGGGGGGGCCGCGGCCTGTGTTGTAAATGGGAGCGGACTCCTCCAGCCCCAGCAGATCATCATCACGGCCAGCGGCTGAATGATGTCCGGGAGGCCTACCGCTGGCCATGATGTTGAAGGTGGACAGACACCGTCACTGTGATGGTGTGCCCCTGGAGCATTGATCGAACGACCGGGATCGGAGAGGGGAGAGGAGGGGGGTTCAGGAGGGCGTGGAATGGAAAGGCACGAGGCGCAAGGAGGGGAGGAGACGGAGAATTACGAAAGGACACGAAAGTGGAGAGGGAATCGAGGTGTAAGGTCCTTGTGCTTATTCCAAGAAGAGGAAATAGTAAAAAAAAAAAAAAGAATCAGCCTGGAAGTGTCGGCGAAGGTGCAGGTTGACGGCGGACAAAGACGAGCGAATGGAGAGAGCGTGAGAGAGTTCCCCTAGTGGCCCGAGAGGCTTAGCGGCGGCCACTAGTCGCGTTGGTATTATTAGCTGTGATATCCTACGATCTGCTTCATCCTTACTTCTCCGGGCTTTGTTTGGGTCGTCTATTTACCACACTGACTATCTCCCTTGGAGTACTGGAGTGTTCTACGCTTTGTTTCTTTCTGGTGCGTAATCTCTACTCGTCGACGCCTCTCTACCTGTAACGGATGTGCGTCATCGGCCCCGTCCCGAACCGCCATCGAATCAGCATAAGACAGGCGCAACGGTCTTGCATACGCTTCGTATTCACTATAATTTATGGAATACGGGAAATGATTACAGTCGCTGGAAGTAGGTCTATGCGGACATGTCGGGCTGACAGGCTCCCCTATTTCTCCTTCAAGATACAAGTGTTTTGTTCCGAAACAGTAGTGTCAGACAAAACGGCCCTTTGATCGCCAGTTTATAGTACATGCTGCCCAAAGTAAAATCGGATTCGTCGTTTCAATAGTTGATCGAGCTTCGAAGCGTTACCGGTCATTCTCCGCCCGCGATTGTTCTGCGAGCCCACCCTTGCCCCGCTTGGCCAGATCGGCCTGCAACGCCTTGTCGATGACCCCGTTAATCTCCTTGACCTTCTCCAGGGCAACATTGGTCTTGTTGACAAACACCATAGCGTCCACGGGCGATCCCGAGAACTTGGACACGAAGCAGACATCGCCCGCGTTGTTAAGGCCAATCACCACGTCGGCTTCGGACGCCTGTTCCTCCTTTCGGGTCGCATCCAGGATGACTAGCCTGCCTTCGTCGAAGGTGTGGAAGGTGACGGCCAGTGGCTTGTGGGTGATGTTGAGTGCGACCGGTACCCGCTCGTCGAGTCCGTACACAATCACCTGTCCATCCTTGACGACGGCGTCGGGACGTCGGAAATGTAGCAGTCCGGCCATGATTCCGATACAGGAAGCGTCGACGAGATTCCCATCGTAGTCGGTAATGTGTACGTCAGCCCGGACACTCCAACAGCTGACTCCTTTCATGATGCAGAGGGACTCGGTGTCCAAAGCGTTCGAATGACGGACCACGCGATCGAGCGTGTTGGTCACGTAGGTCTCCAGATCTCCCTGTCTGTAGAAGAGCCGTGTTAGGACAATACGTAGAAGGGATGTCGGGATACTAGAACCTACCGGCCATTATCCCACGCCGGCGAACCCATGGCAGTCAACTCCAGGGCGATGGTGAACAGGCCATCAAAGGGGCGGTCATCATGCGGCTTCGTCACTTCCGACGAGATGCGAACAATAAGACTGTAGATCCACCATCAGCAAAGAGAACAACACCTAGACAAATGACCAACAACCAATTGAGAAACTCACCTGGTCTTACCCAGCTGCACTTTCACATGCCCGTATTCCTCCCCAAACGAGACTTTCAAGGGACGGAGCTGGTCAGCCTCCCGGCCATCCAGTCTCACGCCTTCGCGCAGCGCATTGAGGATGAAATCGCGCTCGGCAATCGAGAGCGGTGCTTCTTTATTCATGATTGCGGAGGGGAACTCGACCCCAGCGGGGTCTCAAAAGCGGACTTTCTTCTGGAAATTTGATCCTGCGGATTGTTCCGCTGCGTCACTGGACGCCCGGAGGATCTTTGTTCCATTAACAGTCCAATCATATACCCAGGAAAGCCAGGCGGTCTGAAGGTCTGCTGACTCATCTCACCAGGGCCGACTTTCGTGCTTCACTTCATCGCTCTTGTTCAGAAACACTTCCCATCAGAACCAAAGATTGAGAGAGATCGCCCACCATGACTACAGGTATAATCACATGAAGAAGCCTATATTTTTCGAGTTGGTGCGCTAACAATCTCACAGCCCATAGGCCCACATTCGACCCGGTACGCACTCCGTCCGCTCGCCATTCTAACCACCCATTAACGAGAAACAGGCCCAAGGGAAAGAGGCTCTCCGCGGCCCAGCCTACCACCAGCGCCTTCTCCCCGCCTACACGCACCTGAAGACCCGGTAAGTTCCGACAGTCCGACGACGCGACTCCACTCTGACCGTACCAAGTCAACAAGGCCAGGGAAACGAAAGCGAGAGCCAGACACGAGATCTGCGCGCAGAGCTCCTCCAAGCCGAGGCGACTCACTTCGCGAAGAAGAACGGCGTCCCCGTGGATGCGCCTGCTATCGACAACGCGACCCCCAAGCGCCAGCTGGAAGATGCACCACCGGGCGGCGATGCTACGGGACTCGAGGAAGATCCGGAAGCGAAGCGACGGCGAATATTAGAAGAGTCGCGCGATATAGACGCCGATTCGGATGGGTCTGAGGAGGAAAGCAGTGACGAAGAGAGGTCCGTCTCCTGGTTTCCACCGGGTATCGGGAAATGCTGACTCTTGGTAGTGACGACGACGAAGATGAATCGGCCGAGCTGATGCGGGAACTGGAAAAGATCAAGAAGGAGAGGCTCGAGCAGAAGGAGAAGGAAGAGCGCGAACGTGCGGTCGAGGAAGAGGAGAAACGCGAAGTAGACATCGCCCGGGGCAACCCCTTGCTCAATGCTCAAGAATTCAACATGAAGCGCAGGTGGGATGACGACGTGGTGTTCAAGAACCAAGCCCGGGGTACAGAGGACAAGCGAGGCAAGGAGTTTGTTAACGTACGTGGTGTGCAACACTGTCTATTGAGGATGACACTGACTGTTATATGTAGGATCTGCTACGATCGGATTTCCACAAGAGATTCATGGTAAGTGATTCGATGCGGCCTGTCAAGGTACACTACTAACCACGGAGAATAGTCAAAATACGTCCGTTAGTCGTTGCTGTTACTGTACAGAAGTGTGGCAGGCACCATATCAGCAGCGCCAAGGATGGACAGCTATGGGGCTTGGATGGAAATCCAATTTATGATACCATTACTCAGATAGGGAATGTCAACCGACTTAATTAGATTATCCTTTCTACTTCTTGTCATATTTGTCTTGTATTATAGTGTAGGGAAACCATAAAATGATCGACAGCAATACTGCGGGCAATAACCCTCGCCGCCCGACACCCCGCCTTCACGATCGATCAGCTCAATAGTATCATGCGCATCATTTCACCAGTAACATCCAGACAGGCAGAAGACATAAAGTCAAGATGGAGTCTCAACCTTCGTCCAAAGCGTTGCACAGTGAGTACATCCCTTCTTTCAATCAAGAAGTCATATATCGCAACGAAATACTAACAATCGCAGACCGCATCAACACCAGCATCTCCCAACTCCTCCAGCGATACGAGAACATCATGGCCACAGCTACAGTACACACCTCCCCTCACCGATCCCGATCATAAAACAAACGGGGGAAACACAAGGATCCCAGTCTAACGAGTTGACTCCGACAGGCCGAAAACACAAGCCACACATCCACCGCCATCGAGACCTTCCAACTCGATGTTGAGTCTACAGCGCTGGTACGTACCATGGCCTACATACAATACACGCCGTCGCAGACAAACCTTCTCAATATAATACCTACCCATGTCTCAATTGATACAATGAACTACCCAACCTTCTCTAACCGACGACTCAAATAAAACGCACAGGTCCGCGCCGCAGAAGACATCCTCGCTTTAACACGCACCATGAAAGAAGCCTGGCTCTTTGGGAAGCTCGACACACTTGGCGAGGACGAAGCCGACGTGAAGCGCAGGGAGGAGCTTGAGCGGAATGCCGTTGCGATTCAGAAGGCTATTGCGGATAGTGGGGTGTTGAAGCCGGAGGGGGGAGATAGTGCGGGGCAGTGAAATTTTTTTCTTTTGTCTTTTTTTGTTCTTGTGAGAAAGGCCCCTGGTTCTTGCGTTGGAAGTCTCATAGATGGTTGGTGAGCTTTTGTTAGGAGTTATTGGGTTGGTGTTGGTATGTGGCGTTTAAAATGGCATTGTTCATGGGATATAGTATAGATACCCGATATGGATAAATCTGATACAATATAGGCAACTATTGGTCTATCTATGTAGAATTATTGAATAGATGGTTCAGACCTAATTAAAATCAAGGTAAAGCAGTGCGTGGCGGGCTACGCATCCGCAAAACTACATCAATACCGATAACATTATCGATACTGCTATCAATCAATCAATCAACCGAACCTCATCGCGTCGCGTCCTCCACTCCTCCACCAATTCTCACAACCAACCACAACCCCTCCACCAAACCTCAACCACCACCTTCATAAAAAATTTTCAAAAGCCCAATCACTCAGGCCATATCCAACACCACCAAAAACCAACCAAGATGCCCCCCTCAACCGCCCAAAAACCCCTCACCTTAATAGTCGCAACAACGCCCATCCCGCTGCGCGCCGCAAATGAGACACAATCAAAATCCCCCATCCGGCTCGGCATCGGCCTAAACGGAACCCTCCCCTGGCCGCGCATCAAAGCCGACATGAGTTTCTTCGCGCGCGTGACAACACGCACGGTCCAGCCGCGCGCGACGAACGCGATGATCATGGGTCGGAAGACGTACGATTCTGTGCCGGCGAGTTTGAGACCGCTCGGGAAGAGGATGAGTGTTGTTGTTTCAAGGGATGTGTCGGGGGAGGTGGGAGAGAGGGTTAGGAGGGAATTGGCTGAAAAGAGGGAGAGGGAGGCGAAGAAGGCTGCTGCTGATGCTGCTAAGGCTGCTGATGCTGGGAAAGCTGCTACTGTGATTGGGGAAGGACAGACTACGGATGCCGTTGTTTGTTCTGGGTTAGAGAATGCGCTGGAGATGTTGGAGGGTGGTCCGGAGGCGGAGGGGAGACTGGGGCAGGTGTTTGTTATTGGTGGGGCGGAGATCTATGGGTCGGCGTTGAGGTTGTCTGGGGGGAGACCGCTGCGGATTGTGATGACTTATGTGGAGAAGAAAGAGGAGGGGGCTGTGTTTGAGTGTGATACTTTTTTCCCGGTGGATGAGGAGCTGGAGAGTGGTGATGGGTGGAGGAGGGTGAGTGCTGAGGAAGTGTCTGGGTGGGTTGGGGAGGAGGTTACGGGGGAGTGGAGGGATGAAGATGAGGTGAGGATTCGGATGGTTGGGTATGAGCGGTTACATTAGGTTTTCGTTTTCGCCTTGGGTTGTGTTGCGATGTATTGCTTTACTGATCGGAATGTCCATTGTGAATAGGAATAAACTTAGTACCTAGGTATCCAGGTTGGTTCTGTAGAAAGGTTAAATAACAGCGGGTCTATACAAGATAGCCCAGACTCTCAACGCTATATGCAGAATGCAAAATAAATACACGTTCACGCTATCCAGAAATCAAAGAAAAGATAAGGAACGCCTCGCTAATATATGGCATTCTGCAGTCATCCAACTGCAGGTGTATATACCAGGGTTGGTCACCTCGATCCAATCCCAGAAGTATCGTTTCAAGTAAGATGTCAATGTCGTGGTTCAGGCGGATTTCAGGCCATACAGCTCACTCAAGCTGCTTGACGAATTTCACAAAAGCCTTTTTGTGTACGAGGCCTGCGTACTGTCCACCCTGGAGTACACACAGATATCGCAGGCCCAGCTTAGCGAAGCACTGGTAAACAAGGTCAATGGGCGAGTGGATGTCCAGCGCAATGGGTGCCTATAAGATGTCAGTGGCTCGATTTTTAGTAGGTACCAGTCAAGTGTGGAACGTACTGGGTCAATGTAGCGGCTAAAGTCCACCCGTTCGGCGCCTTCGTCGTCGCTGTCGGACACCACCGATGTCGTGTCTAGTGCCATCAAGCACAATGTATTGTCCTCATCTTGGAGATTATCCAGCGCGTACTCCAGATCTGGGGCGGGAATCAGGCCAGCCAGCGCGTTGTCACACAGGATGGGAAGACCGCTGTCAAGCTCTCCTGCCATGAGCAAATGCTGCAGCTTCGACCGCAGCTCCGAGGCACGCACGAACGGCGAATTCGAGATGTCGATGATACGGCTCTTTCGCACCGGTCGAACGATATCCCCCAGCTCGGATTCCGAAACGATCTGGAGTTTGTTGTCCAAAAACGGGTAGGAGTTCATATCGGTGAGAAAGTCCTAGCTATTGTCAGTATACGAAGAAGAGGCTCCACCCGGGTCACTCACGTAAATGCTGCGTGGTTCTATGGCGTCGGCCGTCCACTTGGCGCAGAGAATGGCCAAAGAAAACGGAAGCACATGGTCAAGACTCCCGGTCAGTTCAAACAGGATGACCGCCAGAGTGACGGACAGTCGTGTCACACCGCACATGGTGGCGCCGGCTGCAATCATTGCATAGATGCCCGGAGTCACGCAGGACTCCATGCCAGGGACAGCCGCGCACGAGGATCCGAGAAGGAAAAAATTGGGATACTTCACCACCAGATACTGTGCCACATGGCCCACGATCCGCCCCATCAGACCACCAACCACCATGGACGGGACATAGATCCCCGCGGGGACTTTGATGCCGAAGGTGATCACCGTCAAAAAGCTCTTGATGACGAAGGCAACGAGAAGATAGCGAATGATCTCACCAATCCCATCCGGGGATGGGCAAAGGCCAGTCGGGGATGTCGATTCGCGCTCGCAAGGACTGGCTAGTTCAAATAGCAGCTCGGAGACTGGCAGCTTCGTGTAACGATTCCAGAAGCTCGCCAGTCCTGTGACTACAGCAACGAGAAGGACCTCGAGCATGGGCCAGCGACGGATGACTGAAATTCGACGGAAGGAACGCGCCCACAGGCTGGATGCTTTGATGAAGAGGGCGCCCAGCGCCCCTCCAAGAACGCCTAGGAAAATGAAGATGGCGATCTCGAAGATTTCCCAATCCCCGAGATACCGGACCTGGAAGAGGACAATCTTGCCGGTCCCGTAGGGATTCAGAAACTTAAGGGACAGGGCGGCAGCGATACAACAGAAAAACGTCCGGAACAGCGTCTTCGGTGGGAAGTAGTAGCTCACTTCCTCGAGACTGAACAGAACGCCGCCGATGGGAGCGCCGAAAGCCACTGCAACACCGCTGGCGGCGCTGGCGCTCAGCACCTCGCGCCGCTTGCCGTCGTTGCGATTGTATTTGGCGAACAGGCGACAGCAAATGTTCCCCACACACGTGGCAATATGCACGTACGGGCCTTCCTTGCCCAGGCTCAAGCCGGATGAGACACTGAATATCAAGGCGACGGTCTTGATGACCAAGGTCTTGAAGCCCAAGTACCCGTGCAACACAAAGCCACTGTTTATGACCTTCACCTCGGCCACCCCACTGCCTGCGGCCGAATAGTAAACCATGTCCGGGCGTGTCGGGATCACGGGGTGTGCCGTCTGCGGGCTCGAGTCGTTGGAGTCGGGCGAATCGGCCGTCCCATAGCTCCGCTGCGCTCCTCGCGATCCCACGGCGCCGAGGTTTTCGTCCAAGGTCGCCAATGAAATGGACGACGGAACAACAGTCTTGGTGAGTAGGGTCAGAAAACAGGATATGGCCGACAAACCACCGACCCAAAACACGAACATGCCAAAATCGACCCACTCGTTTTCCGTTCCAGAGGGACTCAGGACGCGGGACCACGACCGCCACGCGGGGCAATCCAACCCGCCCATACAGCAGCTTTGGCGGCTATGGAACAACCGCGTCGAGCAAAACCCTTCTTTCAGATCGTACATGAAATCCTCCGTCACGTCCACGGTATAGGCGATGGCCGCCGTGATACAGCCGATGAGGGCGACCAGAATCCAGCCCTGAGCCCCATCAAACCATGACAGGAGCCGGCCGCGGATATCCTTTCTGCTGCGCAGCTCCCGCAAGCGCGCCCCGTCCGCGATACTGTCATGTACCCAGTCGGTGGAGGTAAACTGGTCATACCAGGTGCGATCGTCGAGAAACGACGCCGTCATGGCGTCTTTCATCGATGCTGCTAGGCTGTCAACGCGGTCCCCCTCCACACTGCCCGAGCGACTGAACCGTCGATTCGTCGAGTTGGCTCTACTGTGATGACGTGATCGGCGCACGCTCCCAGCCATCAAAGCGTGTCGGACAAGGGGGTCAGGCCCTGATATCCCGGATGTACTGGTATAGGACCGTCGTGGCACCCGTCGGGAGTTCTCTTGCGTTTTTCCCAGCAAGCTGGTTGTCTCCCCAACCTCTAGCGGGGTACCCAATGACTGATAGGCGGTATGGGACTCGGAGAGCAGACTGTGGCTGCGTCGGACAGCGGAGGGCGAGGGAGGCGCTGTTCGCGACGACGACCTGCGGCGATCATTGTCGCTGGGAGTCGGGTCTTGCCCCGGGATCGCGGAAAAGTAGGAGGAAATCGATCGAGGCATTTTGAAGAGAATCACAACGTGTGGGGAGTTGTTTCCGAACTCGAATTCAACGACCTGTCGCGGCGTCAGGCCCAGCCACGCACCGTACCTTCAGTTGTCAATCCAAGGACGACGTACCAACGGACATATCCTCAACCACGGACACTTCAAAGGGGAGAGCCAACGAAACCAAGAAGCTGGCTACCGCCAAGTCTGATTGAAAGCCTGAGTGAGGTCAGATGGTTTCCACCACCGGATTGATTGCCGATTAAAAAAGCGGGTCAATGGGGGGAGGTCCGTCCCCTTAGCCCGACACTCCGTGAGGGGGTGAAATCAAAACCGTGGTTATCGAGTGGAGAAGAGATAAGCAAAGGACCACCGATGAAGAAGAAGAGAAGAAGAGAAGAGAATAAGAATAAACATAATGAAAGAAGTGAAGGAGAGACACGTCTAATAATAAACAAATGATAGTTGGATGAAACGCTGTCTGTAATATGGAGAGAGACGAACAAAGGGCGGGAGGAGCAGATGACTGCCCGCCTCGCCTGAGGCCACACACCCGATTCGTCATTTGATTTCGGTCTCTGGTCAACTGCGGTCTGATCTCATTCTTGATCGCCTATTGTTTTCCATACTCTCCAGTTTCAGTCCACACCTCATAGGGATGGATGAATGATCCCTCTCCATCTGAGACCACTCCCCACCCCACAGGAGATATCGCATCGTCTGGTGTAACCAGGAATTCGCCTCCCCGCACATGCACCGTGCATTCAATGTGCATCCAATGATCTACTGTGGTTCAAATGCCAACGATCGCATCCATGCCTGCCAAAACCCCAGGATTTACGTGGACATTGCCGATCATACACGCTCGGGTGAACGCGCCCAGACGGCGATCCGTGGCGGATGCATGTACCGTCTCCTTCGAGATGTCTGAGCCATTCAACGTGATACGTCTATCCATGCGATTGTTCTACCCGTCTTGGTAAGATGGACATCACATGGCGTGCCACCATCCCTGGCACTATATAATGTGGCGACTTACCACTAAAGAAGAGCGTGGGGAAGTCCATGATATACATTGTTGCATTAGACTTTCTGGGAACCCGGTATAGAACCTGACTCGTACATAATGAGTATTGTGATGATACCTTGAACTAGCAACCATGGTACCAACATCCGTAGATGAGCCAGTACCACGGCACTCTACGTTCTTATAGTTGATATCATGTCTAATTCTATTATTCGTATGCAATCAATAATATATATGCAAGCATTAGAGTTATTCAAGAACTTTAGTTTTTTGCCTTTTCCTGCAGCCACTGCTGTAGTTTGCCCAATGCCTGGTAACGATGGGACATTCCATTCTATCGTCTATAAGCTTCATGGCATACTGAAATTCAATGCAGGGATGGGCCAACATACCTTTTTCTCCCGACTCATCTCAGCGAGCGTCTCCCCCCCAATTTCAAAGATAGGCTGCCACCCTGCACACAATATAACATCAGCCCAGTTCCTATTCAATGATAACAACAACAACAACAACAACAAGAAGAAGAAGAAGAAGAAGAAGAAGAAGAAAGAGAAACATACCAAACCCTGGTGGTCCACGCGGAGATACAATCCGACCCTGTTCAACACACCAGTGTCACCAATAGTCCGCTACTCAGAAAATTCAGATCTTACCTCAAGTCGCCCCTGAAACACAACAGGATCTTCTCCCGGCCCGTCCGAAAAAGCAAAAGTGCATACGGCGGCGGCGGACTTATCCTCGAAGGGATCGATCAGTTTGATCAAACCGTCGTTTCCGAGGGCCTCGAAGAAGTGTTTTCTGCATCATATACACTCATTAGTATCGGTAGACTCTAATTTTATCCCATCATGGGTTCAATCCCTGATGTTGGTATTATTCTGAAGGGCCTCACATATACGGCCCAGGCAGACCATTCATCGCAGTGAACTCGAGAGCAGAGTCTTCGACTAGGACGGGGCCTTGGACCTGTTACATCAAATTTAGTAGATAGTATACCATAGTACTAGTAACAGCTGTATGATCGAGACGGATGGAACAGAGAGATCGTACTATTTCAGCCGCTCGTCGACACTTATCTCTCGCAATTTCTTCCAACGTGCCCTGGATCTCAGGAATGTCGAGAGCGGCATTTCGGACCTGGATGAGAGCGGAGTCGAGGATGCTGGTGACTTCGGCGAGTTTGTTGGCGTTGCCGGTGACAAAGAGGACGGACTGCATGGTAGCTAGTATAGAGGATTGCAGGTGGAGAAATGGTACGTAATTTCAATGTGAATATCGTCGCTACGTCGCTGATTCTTTGTTGTGTCTATTGAGCAGTGTAGGCAGTCTAAGATCTGCATTTCGAACATTTGATGTGAATCATCAAGATTTGACAGACCCATGCTGTCTAAGTCTAAAGCGGAATAGTTGGAAACTGCTAATATGGAATGACTCAGTCAAAGCAAGAGAGTGGTCTATTGGACTTGCGATCGATATTGTTCGCATGAATACGAACATCATTCATAGTGATTTTCCTGTGATGTTGACATGTGCAGGCGATATGCATTGATTTATAATTGACTCACCGTGGATCCTCCTGTAGTACCCGGTTAGTACAACTCTAAACTTACCTATGAACTCATGAAGTCTACAACCAACCAACTACCACTACCCATCCACAAGCAGACATTACACTACAGAAAATTCAAAATGGCCTCCCCAGCCACAGCACTCCTCTCACGATACCCGTGGGTATCCAGCCCATTCATCGTCAGCGCACCAATGCGCGTCATGTCCGGCCCGGCACTAGCCGTCTCCGTATCTCAAGCCGGCGGACTAGGATTTCTCGGACCGCGCGTCAAAACCGAAGAAACATTAGCCGACCTAGAAGAGGCGACATCGCTAGTCGCAAAAGCTGCCCCGCAGCACGGCGCATGGCCCGCAAACGTCCTCCCCGTCGGAGTCGGCTTCCAGCTGTGGAGCGACGATTCGAAGATCGCGGCGGCCGCCGTGGAGAAGTTCCGGCCCTGCGCGGCGTGGCTGTATGCGCCCCGGGACGGCCAGCGGGGCTTGGACGAGTGGTCGCGCTTGGTCCGCCGTGCGTGTCCGGAGACTCAGGTGTGGGTGCAGGTGGGGACGCTGGCTGAGGTCAAGGAGCTTCTTCTGCGGCGGGGCGAGGAGAGGCCGGATGTGGTTGTTATTCAGGGGGCTGAGTCGGGGGGCCATGGGAGGGCGACGGACGGGATGGGGCTGATGTCGCTGCTGCCGGAGGTGGCGGATGTGATGGCGGGAAGCGGGATCTCGCTGTTGGCCGCGGGGGCATTGCGGATGGACGGGGCGTGGCGGCTGCGATCTGCTTAGGGGCGTCGGGGGCGGCGATGGGGACGCGGTTCCTTGCTGCTCGTGAGGCGCGTATCAGTCGTGGGTATCAAAATGAGGTTGTCCGGGCGGCGGATGGGGCGGTCGCAACGACGCGGACCCTGCTGTACAATCATCTTCGGGGGACGTTCGGGTGGCCGCAGGAGTATAGTCCTCGGACGATTATCAATCGGTCGTACGTGGAGCAACAGGAGGGAAAGCCGTTTGAGGACCTGCAGGTGCTTCACGATCAAGCTTCCAAAGCGGGTGATGCCGGCTGGGGGCCGCAGGGGAGGCTGGCGACCTACGCTGGGGCGTCAGTCGGATTGATCCATGACGTTCAAGATGCTGCAACCATTGTGCATGATGCTCAGAGGGCTTGTCGGGGGCTTGTTCGGTAGTCGGCTGTTTATGGGTCGTTCAGCGGATGGACACAGAATGGTAGTATCCGATCCTGGCTTGTTAACCATTTCGATGAGGATATCTGGGAATCATATAGACAGTTGTTTTCTTGTCTCTCCCTTTCTATATTCGCAACATGTCAGTCTTCCAAGGGCCTCTTTCTCCCGGTCACTGCATAAATCGCACAAATAGGGTGGAGACTGACGAGAGGGATCTACATGATATGCACCATGTTTAAGTCCAGGTCTAAGTCGTAGAGAGTTAGGATTGTCTCCCAGAGGATAAGTACAACCAGTCATAATTCACGGAGCAGCATTGGGGTTACAGCTCCGAATCGACTACTTATTACTCGGACCGATTCGAGGTTACCTCATATAATGAAGAAACACAAGGAACGATGCATAATCTATTCCATACAGACCATCCAGATAGTCCGATTCAAGCTCTCCCAGCCGAGGTCCAGCCCACACATCTGTAGATGATGATGGCCACAGAACTTCACATGCTCCCTCTAGCTTATCGGTCACTGGAAATTTCCTGCAGACTATCTAGTGTCTGCCTCTAGTGACTTTGGAAGACATGGTGTCCGATGGGCCCGAAGTGGGTCGGCAGAGATTTCATGAAACTGAACTCGCAAATGTTCATGTCAAAGAGCTATCACGGACGGATCCATATTACCCCAGTACTCTGGAGTCGATTCTGGAGTCGATTCTGGAGCCCGCAACTCATCATGGGGGTTTCTGGGGTTTTCCGGGGTACCCTCATAGTCTATTTCGGTGCAATTGATGTTCAGAGGATGATAGGTATCTACGGAACCAGACCGACATGATGTGGGAGTTTATATACCGGAAATCCAGCAAAGCCGCAGTCGCAAAGCCGCAGTCCCTCTACGATACTCCGTACTATCTATCCAATTGACAGATCGTGTATACAATATACTCGGTATAAACGTTGGAATCCACCTCAGGACAAGAGGATAAAAGGAGAATACGAAGACTCGGCTAGCAGGTGGAGCTCCCATCAAAGCGGAGTCGGGAAACCGAGAGAGTGGGACTCTGGGACCCATGCAGAGCATTTATGGACGGTGCAAGACTTTTTCTGGCAAGGCTTGCGAGATGAGCCAGTCCGCATTAACCCGATCCTGTCAATTCCCTTGTGATATTGCGTCGACTGGAATATCTTGACGGACCATAATGCCTGCCGATCTTCCTCTAGGGCTTGTCCTCTCTGTTCTCGACGGAGAAAGGATCACCCTCAGTATAAATTTCACGTCCTTATGAAGGCCAGACCCCCGGTTGATCAGTTTAGTTTATCGTTCAATTTTGATTAATCTTTATATCTGTATCGTGTTTCCCACGGGGCCCCGGACGCCCACTTAATATCTACCTAATTCATATCTATATTCATAATGTATTTCAAGACTCCCCTTGCTTTAACGGCGTTATGCGCTGCGGTCACGTCCGGTCTGTACTTTACATCACATCCTGGTACAATATGATGATCGTCAATCTAACGTGCAACAGCAATCACCATTGACGAACCCCACGGCGGCTCCAAGCTAGACCTCAGCCAAAACACCACCATCAAATGGACCACAGAACCGTACGACACAAACCTATCCCCTGGCTCAACAGAAATCCAATGCTGAAACTGAACCCAACAGCTCCGACCCTACCTCCTTCGACATCAGCCTCATCAACGAGGACGCCCGCGTCTTCGCAACAATCGCCCACGGCGTTGACCCGAAAAAGGGCGAATTCACATTCCACGACGTCAACACCACTGCGACGTACGTACTTCCCATGCCACCCCATGGCAATATCTCGGCGCATTCTAATCACTTAACCACTCCTACAGCGACGGATATATGTTCCGATTCATCTCCTTCGACGAGCACGGACGGACACTAGCCGACTCGAAGTCGTTCAGCGTCGTCCCCAATAACGACGGCTCGCATTTGACGGATAGTGAGTATACCCCCATGTATTCTCACGGTGGTGTATGACTGACGACCCTCGCAGAGGATGAGTCCTCTTCTTCCGGTACGAGAGTCGGGCTGGAGGCTCCCGCCGTTTTGTTGGCCGGAGGTCTCGCCGTGGCCCAGATTTTGGCTTGGGCGCTGTAAAACACTAGATTTTTGTGATGAAACTTGCGTTGCATTGGATGTGATGTATATGTTGATGCAAACGCTGGATACGTGTTATGTGTCTTGTTCTTATGTCTGCTGGGTTGGAGCAGTTGCGTACTAGTATATAGAATGACAATAGACTGGGTAATATAGTTTAATATATTGATTGTTGCTGGTTTGCCAACGGGGCTCGTGATGCGCAAGAATGATCCACATCTTCAAAAGGCTAGTTTAATGGCCTGATATCAAAGGTTAACAAATCACTAAAATTGAATCTCTTCTTTCTTGGGCACCTGGCTGTAGGGCACTTCTGGAACGCAATTCAAATCACCTAGCCAAACATCATCCCCATCCTTTTTCGTTACTTCTAGATGGCTTCCCCGATGTGAGGGTGTGTGTGTCGCATCATGGATGGGGTTTCTCAAAGGATCTATAATGTATTCATGGCTAGCAATATGCGTTTAGTGGGCAGGTGGTTCAGCATATTCGAAGCAGATTGTAACGTGGAGACACTTGGGTTCTTTCCAGGATTTGCCCTACATATGGGTTGTTTTGTGATTTATTCCATTATATATCAACATATTCTCATGGGCAAAGGCTAAGATGGCTCATACCGGATGAGAATCGCATTTGGATGAAGATGAATATCATTTGCAGGCTGGTATGCCAAAGCCAACATGTTAACAGAAATCGTGCCAATGATGAAGAACTTGACTTGCCTTGAGTGAGGTCCAGGCGAGGTCATCCATTGTTCAGAATGAACTGGGACCCTTATGAAGTCTACACAAACAGTAGAGAAAGGTAACTAAACCATATGAACATCTAACAAAGAGGACTTTGTCAAATTCTAGCTAGAATTCTATATTAGGTAGATGTCTGATCCTACTAGCTGATATTTCGAGGTTTAAGAGCTAAAAGTCTGATCCCTGCTCAACCGATACCCTCCATCGGGGAGACTGCATTAGACAGTGAAGCATAACGCATACACTTGATGACGTGTACTCCCGTTTGTTCTGTCGAGGGATTCTGTGTACTATCAGCAATTCTTAACCGAGTGTCCTTTTCAACGGTGGTGCTGTTGTTTCTGAGTCGCGCTTCGCACTCGTACATATACACCCCACTAACCCGGTCCGAAGCCCGAGCACATGCATGACTTCCAAGCTACAGAGCCATGTCAGTCAGCTAGGTACTAAGACTACCGCTGCAACTATGTGCTGTGAGGCCTGGACTAATGCAACTACTATCAATATAAAAGGTGACTACCCAGGTTCAGTCAACACATATTTCTATTCAAACATGTAACTCGACACGGTTGGGTATCAGACACTTTATAGGTGAGCGAAACATTTTGATACACTGAGGGGTTCTTGTCAGCTCACTACTGGGGCTGTGCTGATTACAGATAGCAGTATCTATCAATTCCTCCTTCACTGAGCAAGTCATTTATCTCCGTTCTCATCTCTGTAACTACGTAATAACGAAGAATTCTAATGAACGTGCAGTCCCAAAATGGGGGAGCAAAGCCCACACTCAAGCTATGATGGTGAAATTGAAAACGCCAATGTTGCCATGAAAATGGATGCCAAAACCATGAACCAACTTTCTTCGTCGGGCAAGGCCGCGCAACAGAACAGAGGGAAGAAGGCTATTCTAAATCTTCAGAACGCGATTGAAGACTTCAAAAAATCGGATGACGGGGAAAACAGAAACAAGGGCGAAAGACAGGGACAGAGTCATTAAGAAACATTGTGAATGCGGACAATACCGGCAATTTAGGATTGAAATGCTTCTCGCAAGGAGATATCGTATTTCTCTTTGTCTTCCACTTTATGCTCAATGAACGCAAAAGTATTGAAGGTCCAATAAGGCATGGTAATCCGCCAAAATGCCGGGTCGTCATGGGTCTTGGAGAATCTTGGCTGAATGTAGTCATAGAATATTTTAAACAACGCTGTGGGACTCGCGAGAGCCAGTGAACACCAGAACGTGCCTCTCTCGAACCCCTGTTTCAAGACCGGGTAGAGAGGGAAAGGCATATCGAGTGATTTTTCTTCCTCTGCGAAAGCGTCCATGAATTCTCCGTGAAGAGCCTCGTAGTCGTCAACGCTGATCAGATCAATAGCTTCGTTTGTTAACCAGTGCGGAGGATGGATCATCTCTACCGGCTGAGAGCAGGCCCACTCAAGGTCTATCAAACACTTGATATTCCAGTTATGGTCAACAAAAATATTAGACTGGTTGAGATCAGTAAGGTTGAGAAAAAATGGCCCTTTGAAAAGATCTCGTCGGAAAAAGCAAGACCAGACGCTTCTCATGACCATTAGTGCAGATGTCTGATAGAACCCATCCTCGACACTGTTGATTGCGTTTGGCTGATGGCGAAGACGACTTTGATGTCGTGCTAGGATATCGTTCACATAGGAGTCGACGCTGACGTGGGTTGCATCCCTTTGGAGGTCCACTGGGATGCTTTCATTTTCTAGTTGTTGAATCTCAAGTGTAAGAGGTCGGTTACCCAAGTGCAAATACCCATGTTCATCTAGAATGAAAGAGCCGATCTGAGGCAATGGGATACGAGCCAGATTGAGCATAATGCGTGAGAGACCATGGAACAGGTTTGCCCGTAAGCGTGGGTCGAGACGTCCCCGCTCCCAAGTTTCAGACAGCATTTCGCCCCTTGATGGATTGATATAATCTATTATAATGTAAGGACTCTCTAGCGCGGTCTGGTCTTTGACGCGGTTTTCGACATATAAGGATGGGAGTGGATAGCGTAGTAACTGCAAAAACCACCGACGGAGGCGTTGAATGCTTCGTGAGAAAAAGGAAAGGCCGCCAAGATAGGTAAACTAAAGACGGTGAGAAACATTCCTACTCTGCAACAGACAGAAGCTAGAATCATACAGTTTTACCATTAGATAGTCCGAATCCGTGAAGATGTGGAATTGGGACATCTGGACACTTCTCCGAGACCCACGCATAGGTCCCAACTTCGCAACGGACCTTCTCGTCCGCATTCCCCGGGCAAGGACCCTCGCCGATCCTGTACGGCAGGGGGAAACGAATCATCACCTGTTTTTCAGATTTTGTCCTTGGACCGTCAATATCAACCCGGATGCAAACGTTGAAACTTCCGTGGATCCAGTCCTCCACGTCGACAACATGGCATGCATCTGGAGAGGTAAGGCCAAGATGATGAGCAACGATATTCTTGATCAGCTCTCGGCTTCTGAACAAGCGGGTGAAAAATTGGAGCTTTTGCTCTCGATAGCCCAACTCATGGAGGATATTAGCATCTTTTTCTTTCGCAGCGGAGTATGTAATCTCGCCGCGAATCAAACGGCGAGGTTTCAGCGCGACATGTGAATTAGGATCCTGCTCTTGGGACATCACTTATATGATGTTGAACCTTGAATTGGATTCTTGGTGGCTTTTTTGGTTTATTAAACGAGCAATGACAATGTGGTCGAACATCAGTTTATGATTGATCTGGCAGGCCAAGGGGAACAGGCGCTAATCTAGGTCACGTGCATTCAACACAATGACAGACGGGGACGCCATTTCCAACTGCCTAGATGTACATCAAAGAGATGCCTCGCGTTAGAAAGAGTTTTGCGTTTGTGTCGGTAAGAAACTGCGAAGTAAGGGACAAGACTTAATGCCGGATCGGCCAGCTTAATCGGGCCGAATGTTCTATATATATAGTAGAACACTGGTGAAAGTGTTAAGCAGCACAAGCAAGACGTTGTATAACTTACGGCTAGGGCAATTTACCAATGTCAGGATCACGATCCGTTTTTAATCCAGTGTTGTAAACTATTAGGGAACCCAATATAACCCAATATAAATAGTTGAGATTCTTCCATTCTGGACGCGGATCGGCCGCCGTAGACAACCGATCCCGATGATCCGATTTCTTTTGTCCCCGCAACCCCTCCATCATGTCTATCCTCCTCGGTCCTGAAAACACTCGCCATTATTAGTTCTTGTTTTCTTTGTCCTAATCATTGTCCAAACTACCACCTGCAAGTAAAAAATCATACATCATCGACCCGAATATGTCGCAGGGCGCCCCGCAATCGGCCGCCGAGGCCTTGTACCAACCGTACGACCAATTCATCCTCTTTGGAGATTCGATTACCCAGATGTCTAGTAATCAAGAGCTTGGATTTGGTCTTCAGCCTGCGCTACAAGATGGTCAGCTCAATCCCCTCAGCCTGCCGTGACGCATAATGCTGACTGCGTGGTAGCCTACAGTCGAAAACTGGATATAATCAATCGCGGGTTTGGGTATGTTTAGTTAACGTATGATTGGAGCACGTCAATTTGTTATTGACTGTACCTCTGTAGAGGCTACACCACTGCCCATGCTATCAAGGTGTTCCCCAAGTTCTTCCCCACGCCGGAGAGAGAAAATGTTCGGTTGATGGTATATCCTTCCTTGAATGATCATCAATAGCCCGGGCGAGACCTTGACCGATTATTCTCTAGACTATCTGGTTCGGAGCCAACGATTCTTGCCATCCTGGAAACAGCCAGCACGTCCCGCTGGACGTCTTCAAAGAGAATCTGAGACAAATTATTCAACACCCCGCAACCCTGGCTCAGCAACCTAAATTGATCATCTGCACCCCGACCCCAATCAATGAGCATCAACTGGAAGTTTTCGACTCGGAGAAAGGGAATGAGTTCCCCAGCCGAACAAACGGCTTTACGCGACAGTATGCAGAGGCAGCTCACGAAGTGGCCACGTCGTTTAAGATCCCCGTTGCGGATCTTTGGACGGCATTTATGACCGCTGCTGGATGGAAAGAGGGCGAGCCTCTGATAGGATCAAGAGACCTTCCGAGTAATGACAAGCTCGGCAGCCTGTTCACAGATGGTTTGTTCTCCCTTTGTTCCCTTGCTCGACCTTACCCACGTTCCCTCAAGTCAGATATCTCCTTGGGACTAAGTAGACACTGACAACACAACAGGGTTACATCTGACCCCGGATGGATATCGCATTGCATATGATGTTATCATGGAGACGATCCGACGCAATTGGCCTGACGAGGACCCTGAGCGTCTCCCCTTTGTCTTCCCTGGCTGGATGGAGGCGCCCAAATAGAGGCTTGATCTGGCCTAGTCGCCGGGAAAACCGGGAAATCAATTTGGTCTATATTAATTGAAATGACAAACATAACAAAGCCAATAGTAGGAAACGCACAATGAAGGATGACCCCCAGTGGTGCGTTGGTGCAGAGTAGAAACGGAATTGCATCTGCATGGATGAGTGAAAGCGGTCTAGATCGCTCGGCCGGCCAGCCCGGCGCCAACCCAAAGTGATGGCCCAGTTGGGATCCCCTCATTTCGTCCTGTCCAACTGCAAGAAAATCTTGTCCTTTCCTCCCATCCCTCTTCTGAATCGAACCTCCCCTTTATTTACTGTCGTCTATCATACGCCAATCACTCTATTGACTCATATCCACGCTATACCCCCGCTTTGGTCCCGTGAAGGCAAAGTTTCCTATTCTCCGCTGTTGAAAATCTCCGATCCGACACCTCTCCAACTGTCTTACGCCAGGCTTTTTCGATCTGTAATTCGAGAAATTTACACTCATCAGTGAACGTCGACTTCCATCAAACAGAGTCTCTTCTAAACCTCAATAGAGAAGTGGTTGTCTTGCTGGACTGCTACATCTGCTGAAACCTTCGACCTCCGGCCTTTGTTCCGCCAAATCGACTACTACGCTACTTGCTTCAATCCATCCCTTCCGCCCCAGCTACTTCCTTCCTTGTCGTCCCAATATCCAGGTCATCCTCTTGCCGTATCATCCTTACTGGGCGTATATGTTTACAAAAAATACACCGGATATTTGCCTTTAGAGAATCGGGTGGACGGCCGGCCGTACGGCCGTCTCACAGAGCACGGGAGGAGGAGCTTTAGGACAGTGGGCGACGGGTTAGCTATCGGTAGTGAACAAGACGGCGGGAGGAAAGCAGGTGTTTGTGATCTGAGATTAGAACTGTCTCTCTGTGTGTATTCGTGACTTGGTATTCCGGCAACAAGGCAGGATTTCCCTCATTTGTTCGAACATTCATTTGTTTCGCCATCCGGTCAAGCTTGTTTGTCCCTATCTTCCGTTTGGTCGGATATGGATGCTCACTATCCTTTTGCCTCACGCGACGATATTTGGCGCGTCTTTGACGAGCTTAAAGAGCTTCACGCCACACAGTTTGAACAGGCGGAGCGCATTGCACGGTTGGAGCGGCGGAGGGACGAAGATGCGAGGATGAAGAGTGTCTGGGGCCCTCTATCACCCTTTCCGACTTCGGTTGCGGGAACAATACCCACAGGTGCGTCTGCTGTATTTGGGGGGATCGTTGCTTCATGACATCGTTACTGATCTGCCGGTGTTTCTGCAGAGCCCGCTTTCCATTCAACCGCCGACGCCTTCAAAGGATTCGACCAGGGACAACATCACGGTGGCGCGGTGAGCACCGTGGGCTTGGAAACGGAATACGAGCCGAGGCGGGGGGCATCCAGGGCCAACAGTGTTCGTTTCGATGAGAGTGCGATCCACGGATATTACGGGCAGGCCAGTCGGTCGAGCAGTGAGCTTCCGATGAGGACCGGCAGCGGCCTGGGAGGTCACCCCCTGACGGAACCCTCACTGTCCCATCGCTCAGATGGGCGTCAAAGCTCATCGGGACACTCTCATCACTCTGCTCGCACCAACAGCCTTGGCATGGAGGCGACTAGCAGATTGCTTAGTTCCTCGGTCGGCGGGTCACCTCTCATCCCACCGCCTGGGCTTTTCCTCTTGGGGCCGGTTCCATGCATCATCCGGTGTTGGCTGACGGCGAACTTTTCCAACGAATCACTTCTGTATGCGGCTGCATGTTCGGGGGCCTATACGTCGACTCTTGGATACCCACTGATTCGAAAGCTTGGCCTGGAGGAGCTCATCATCCAGGAGGAAGAGACGCATTTCATCAAACTCCCGGTCTATTTGCCGGAAGCCAGTCTTCACCAGGCGTCCTCCCGCCCCAGCAGTCCTGCTCCACAGCTTCCGACCTTAACCATCCGATTCCTGGTCCAGGATGTCATCCCCAACGATCCGTCTATCCAGATCATCATCGGCAGCGACGTCCTCCGCTCCCACAACGCGGACATCTTGTTCTCCCAAGACAAGATCATCATGGTGGACGACGAGAGGAACAAGGTATCTATCCCTCTGGTTCGGCCAGAGGACGATGCAGTGTTCCGATCTCTTGGGACCTCGTCCTGCTCGTCGCGCGCTGGACGAACAGCGCAGGCGCTCCCGGCTACGGATCATCCCTCTGTCAACGGTCATTCAGCCGCCGGTGTCATTGGACAGCCCCCTAGCCGACAGTCGCGGTCTACCTCCGCCTCAGGTCGCGTCTCCTTTGAGGAGCGCGAAGACGGTGAGCAGGCGCATTCGCTGGAAACGCCACACCCGCCAAGGAGTGAGCCTTCTCAAGAGCAGCAGCAGCAGCAGACACAGCAACCACAGCAGCAACCACAAACAGCTAAGCCGACCGAGATGCCGCTCAGCAGTCCAGCCAAGGCGGAGCCAGCAGGAGTCTGGGGCTCATGGAAACGTGATTCCAGAGCGGACCCCGCGTCCTCCGCTTCCGGTCGCCCGTCGCGGGGCCGCGCCATGAAAGTGCTGCGGCCATCCAAGACCTCGTCTCGTACCTCCCAGTCGGCAGCTAGCACTCCCACCGGCTCCGGCCCAGAACCGGTAGGACTCTCCACAGCCTCGCAGCCATCCTCACGGGCGTCCCCGGAAGAAGGTCACGCGGGGAAGCAGTGGTCGTCGAATCCTATTGGCGGGGCCTCCGCGTTCGGGTGGCTCAATTCGACGCAGCCTTCCGGCCGGGCTGTGACGAACCCTAAGTGAAATATATTAGGGACTGTAGTTACGGTGGGCTTCGATTCCTCCCATCTGTAATGGAGGGCTTTCTGTTTTGTAGTAGGATTGCTGTCCTTGTCTTGTATGCAGCTTAGATGAAGAGAGCCGTTTTCGCAAGAGATACTCTATCGTAGTGGGTCTGTATTTGTGCCTGATAGTGCGATATATACAAGGCGGTTTGGCAGTTTCTTCATCTTCACACAGTGACGTGAACCACCACACTAGTACCCAGGTATACGACACCATGATAACATGAATGAGTGACCACGGAAAATATACAATATCATCTAGATATCCAGCCGAACATTCGATGCTATACCCCGCATAAGCAGCAGAATGACCGTAATACAAGCAGCAGAACTCAAATCTTCGCAAAAACCTCCAAAGCTCCACTAGTCTCCTCCTTCGTCTCCTTCACCAACCCACTGACAGTCTTAAACTGCGGATGACCCGCATCGCCCAGAATCTCAAACAAAATACTCTCACTAGTCGTCACGATAGCGCCCGCATCCCGCAGACGCGCAAACGCAACCACCCTCTCCTCGGCATTGCAGCTGCTCACGCCGTCAGCGAGGACATACACTCTGTGTCCGCGCGCGAGCAGATCCAGCGTCGTCTGCGTGACGCAGATGTGCGACTCGATGCCGACGATGATAGCGTCGAGGACGGTTTGCGGGGCTTGGGGGAGGAGGGCGTCGATTTCGGGCGTGATCATTGAGAAGAGGGTTTTGTCGACGTTGGCTTTGATGTTGGGGGCTGAGAGGTGCGGTTGGAGTTCGGAGACGGTGTCGCCTAGGCGGGCGCGGTTTTGGGTCGTGATGTAGGTGGGGAGGGAGAGGGCGTTGGTGGCGCGGAGGAGTTTGGTTGTTGTTGCGATTCTGGGGTTCTAATTGTCAGCTTGGTAGTTTGTGTGGCGGGGCTGTGAGGGAGGTGTACAGTTTGGGGTATTCGTAGATTGCTGGGCGGAATTTCTCTTGGATGTCGCAGATGCTGGTGTAGAGTAGATCTGTTAGCTTCCTTGCTTTCTATGTTTGATTTACTGGGGAGTGAAGATGCTGTGCAGGGATTGGCGGTTTAGAATGATTCAAGACGTACAATACTGCTGGGTTGCCTGGAGGTGGTGTTAGCAGTTATCAGTGGATAGCCAAGATCAGAGAAGACGTACGGATACGGGAGGCTTTTGCAATTGACGCCATGGCGAACAGAACTTGTGTAATTATTGAGAGACCAGGATGATGCTGAGATGGAAGAAGTTATATTGAATTGCGGAGGATGCCGGGCGGGGAAGCCTGAGGGTGCGGGGAAGTTCTGCCTGGAAATGAAGGCAACAGAATCAGGCAACAGAACAAGGCAACAACAACTAACCACTGCCTGAGGCCCGATATGGCACGTGTCTCGGAAACGGTCATGTCCGAAATGCCCGGAAATCCGGCATGGTGCTGAGTCAGCCTGGAATTCCGATTTTTTTTTTTTCACAGCGGGTCTTGGCGGTGAGACCCTTGGCTTGATCCCTTTTTGTTGTGCTTTCTTCTTCCCTCTCGATTTTCTCTTTTCTCTCTCCTCTCTCATCTACTCTTCTTTCCACACCCATCGTTTCCTCACGGATCCCATCGGTATTTGACTCGCTTTCACTCTCGGATATCTGCCGTTAAGCTGTTGTACGGCTTTTGGGCGTTAGATTCTCGGTTTGAACGATTTAAACCCGCTCTGGTTAGTATTGAATGGGTCCCTTTGGCACTGTCCAGCTACTGGCCACACCATCGTATCGTCGACGAACTCGAATACTGACCACATGTCTCACTTTATAGAAGAACCACAAGTTTGGTTTCTCACTTTTACCTCGCCAGAGAAAGCCATTAGAGCAGAGTCGATCGAGAACTTGTCTATGTATTCGTCCTGCTTCAGATATTTCGAACATCACCTGCCGCTCAAGCTGCAAACGTTTCGCATCGCGCCGAAACCTTGCAGTATACACCCCAAGTCTTGTGGCTGAAACCCTACTGTTGCCATATCCGCTGTGATAGTCGCTCCATCGAGACGATTCCAAACCGCCACCATTTCGCCGAACATAGAAACTCGTCACGCATGTCTTGTTCTTTCAAGACATCTTTGGCCGAAAATCCCTCCCGCTACACTTCTGAATAAATCCATTCCCTGCTGAAAAGCTACCGATCCCAACCGTCATCATGGCTACTGTCAACATTCGTCGGGATGTCACCGATCCCTTCTACCGTTACAAGATGGAGCGCCTCCAGTCCAAGATTGAGGGCAAGGGCAACGGTATCAAGACTGTCGTCGTCAACCTGAACTCGGTTGCGCAGTCTCTGAGCCGCCCGCCTTCCTACGTCATCAAATACTTTGGCTTCGAGCTGGGTGCTCAGGCCAACGCGAAGCCGACCGATGATCGCTGGATCATCAACGGCGCCCACGATGCCCCCAAGCTCCAGGACTACCTGGATGGATTTATCTCTCGGTTTGTGCTCTGCAAGAAGTGCAAGAATCCTGAAACGGATGTCATCATCAAGGAGGATAAGATCATCCTCGACTGCAAGGCCTGTGGGCAGCGCACCGACGTTGACCCTCGTCTGAAGCTGAGCACTTTCATCCTCCGTAACAGCACTATTGGCAAGGGGGGCAAGAAAGACAAGGCGGCCAAGAAGGCTCGTCGTGAGAAAGCCAAGCAGAATGGTGAGAATGGCGACAAAGATGGCAGCCCCGGCGATAGCAACTCGGACAACGGTGACGGCGAGAATGGTGAAGTTGAGCTGGAGGCTGGCAGCGATGACGAGCTCACCCGCCGCATCAAGGCGGAAGCCAAGGCCATCGAAGCCGAGAACGACGACAACGACAGCTGGGCTGTCGATATGTCGGAGGAAGCCATCAAGGCCCGTGCTCGGGACCTGCCCTCGGATCTGAAGCGCTCTCTCGTCATCGACGATGGCGATGATGACGCTGGAGCCGATGGTCCCTCGGCCTACGATGAGCTCGGCAGCTGGGTCCTTGATACTGCGGCCCAGAAGGGCGGTGTTTCCAAGGTCCAGGATGTCGACATCTACATCAAGGCCAAGGAACTGGGCATCGAAACCAAGCACAAGACCTTGGCTGTCCTCGCCCAGACCATCTTCGACAAGGACATCCTGAAGCAGATCCCTGACCGCGCGTCCCTTCTGAAGAAGATGAACACCTCCGACCGCCACGCCAAGGCCTTCCTGGGTGGCACCGAACGCTTTGTGGGCAAGGACCACCCGGATATGCTTCCTCAGCTCCCGAAGATCTTGCTCCAGTATTACGAGAACGACATTGTCGCGGAGGAGACCCTCAAGTCTTGGGGCGCCAAGGCCAGCAAGAAGTACGTCGATATCTCGACCAGCCGGAAGGTCCGCAAGACTGCGGAGCCTTTCCTCCAGTGGCTTGAAGAAGCCGAGGAGGAGGACAGCGACGATGAGTAGGTTGCTGCTCATCGGTCTTTTGGTCCTGTCTCGTCCGATCGAGCCTCTTTGTTTCTCGCTACTGTTGATTCGCTGTTCCAACTAATCTCCACTCGTTTGAAGTGTAACTGAGAATGCTTTTAAACTTATATTATACAACATGAAATACAGTTGTTGATCTTGTCACCGATATTTTATCTTTTCATATCTTGTCGCGTAGGTTCCTTGAACTAGACCATAGCGTAGAAGTAATAACCCAATCATTGACACATACAAACATATCCATTCATCTAAATAAACCATCCCCCCACAATCCTATCTTCTAAAAAACAGGCCTCGCAAACCTCACCACCCCCTTCGGAAAAACCCACTCCCTCTGCGGCTCTTCCTCAATCTCCATAATCTTAGGAACGCCCAAACGCGAAATACCACCCCCAGCACCAGACATTGCAGTCTCAGCATTGATGTTACTATTCTTCCCAGCCATCAACCGCCTCACCTCACCCCTCTGCCTCTCCAAAACAAACCACGCCAAATCCGCATTCCACGTCTCCATCGCAACGATAGCGTCGCGGATGGTGTCAAGTTCAGCACGGTCTTTGCTTTCTCGTGGGGTTGTGTTGGTTTGCAAGGAAGCATCTGGCCCCGCGAAGCGGACGACCCACGCGCCGATGAACTCGCAGATCTCGTCGCCTATAGCGAGCGGCAGACGGACGTGTGTGAGGAGCGTCGTGAAGAGGGTGATGAGAGCGCGCCAGAGGGTGTGGTGGGGGGTGAATGCGCGGGTACCGGCCGTTGTTAGGGAGAGGGAGGGGATGAGGGATTGCGAAGGCGTCGATGCGTTGTCATTGTTGGCGTCGAGGGGTGTGATGGGTGATGGTGATGAAGGGGAGAAAGAGGAGGAGGAAGAGGAGGACTGTCTCGCGCGCCGCTCGAGGGCTTTGTCTGCATCCGAGCGGACTCTGTCCCAGGCTCGACGGTAGAGGCGGGCCCAGCGGGGGAACTCGGCTTCGACGCGCGTCGCCATGAAGTCGCCTGCGTTTTGGCACATGCTTTGGATGGCTGTGCATGCTGCTGTTGTGACGAAGGTTTCTTCTTGGAGGTCTGGTTCGGGGCTGGTTTTTTTGTCGTTCGGTTTGTTGGGGGAGTCGCTGGTTAGGAGGGCTGTTGATGATGATGATGACGGGGTGGTGTTTAGTGAGGCGGGGAATGTGATTCTTGCTGCTACGGGTGGCCATAGGTCGTTGATGAGAGGTAGAAGGCTGTTCTCGTGTTGGGCGAGAACGGGGATGGCTTGGATGAGGATGGAGAGCAGAGAGCGACGGAGGTAGGGGGATGGCGAGGATAGGTGCACGGGTATGGATTTGACGATGTGTAGCAGTAGCGAGTGCGACTTGCTTAGTGGCTTCTCGCTGTCGTCGGGCTCACGAGGTGGGGGGAGCTGCTCGTCTGATTCTTCGGTTTCAGGGGCCTGTTGGGTTTCTTGGAAGACGGTGTCGAAGTTGGATTTTTTCTCTTCTTCAGACTTCGCAGTCCAAGGACGCTTGGGGTGGGAAAGCTTTTCGTCTTGTGCTAGAGCTTCCTGCGCGTGTTTAGCACGTTTCATCCTTTGCTTCGTCAGGTCTTTAGCAAGCGTTGAAACCCGGAAGCTTTGATACAGTCTCTTGCGGTGGTTGATAGGCCCCTCCTTGCCGCTTTCGATGGCTAGGAGTGATGGCTGCTTGGTGCCCTCTTCGACTATAGCAGCCAGCGTCTTGAACATCGTCTCGACGAGTTTTGGGTACCCATGGTACATATCCAACACACCGAATATCGAGTCTACCAGGTCATCCAGGTACGGAATCAATCGGGCACCACACAGTTTCACCATCATAAACAAAACCTGAGGTGGGAGCGGTGAGACATCGAACATGTTCAACTTCAATCCAACCGCGTTGATAAGATAGTCAACATTCTCTATGATCATGCTGCTTGTGCTGTCGTATTTGCATGACGTAGTGAGGAGGTTGAGGCATGTCATCGCATGCTGTTGAAGGTAGGGATTGCCAGAGGAAAGCAATTGGAGAACAGGATATAAGGCGTCCATGAGCTCTGGACGGAATGCCTCTCCGAGCTGCTGTGCTTGGAGAGCAACAGCCTCCAATGCTAGCGCCGAAATACGCCAGTCTGGCTCATCAGATGATTGCTCGTTCAAGATCGGCAGGGAAGCATAATATAACTCTTCAATCATGCTAGTCCTGGTAGAGTTTGGAGAAGACTCCAGTAGGTCGGAGGATATGAAATCGTCAAAGAAAGCCGAGCCATGGACGTCGGACTTGAGGAAAATCAATGCTAACCAAAACGGCGCGATCTTGGAGTTGCCTGGCTCATTGTGTACCCGGTTGATGATAAACCGCGTGATTTCGTCGCCGGATTCGAATCCACTGAGCCGAAAAACCATCGCCTGAAGATCCTTGAGAGTTTGCTGCTGGCTTCGATGTTCGAAAAGCACCGGTGCGAATGACACCGAGTGAGTTCCCTGGTGGATGATGTCCATTGATTGTATGTCTCTTGTGGGACTCAACGTCCCGAGCGATTTATTTGCATGGATGATGCTGGCAGCAACACTGTCACACAATCCCGAGGCCAGATTGGTTGTGAGGATATCAGAGCTTGATTGGGTCTCGGACAGTATCTGGAATGCGGTTGAGATTTGTTTGAATGCCCACTGCTTCGCTGTTTCGTCATTGCCTTGCATGGTTCTCGGAAAAGCAGTGATCCATGTATGGAGCGAGTCCCTGAGCGAATCCACGACTATAGGATAGGTTGTAGCCATGTGTTTCAGAGATGAATATGGCTTGTCTGCGACCGTAGCCTCCGCATCCGATAAAACCACGATCGTTTCAATCACGGTGGGTATCGATTCATGTAGCGTGTTCCGACAGTACTCCACAACCATGATACAGAGTTCCAAAAGGGCCTCCCGTACCTCCAGTCGCTCATGGCGTCTTACTTGCACAATGTTCGTCAGTGCGAGTTTTACTTGTGTCGCTGTAGCAGTTAGCCACGATTTGTCAAGCACCAGCTGGTCTCCCGCCGACTGGGACCGAGTGGCAGTCTCCTCAAGTATCATTGCTGCCTGATCATTCAGAACGGATTTCAGGACATGATCAAGTGTCTGAAGGCAAACACAGATCATCCGATATGAACGCCTTGTCTGAGTGGTAGGCTTGATAACCTTAGTCAAAGCTGACACCGTGCGTGGCATGATACTCGCCAACACAACCCGGTCCGTGATGCGTTGAGTGAGAATTTCGAGAGCCTTTGCAGAAGCAATACACAGCTCATCAGATCTATTATCGGTGATGCCTTCAAGCAACAGATACACAGTTTGATCCACAACAGTGGAGGTACCGATCTCGTGATAGACCGTTTGTCTGGCGACAGGGCCATCTAGCACATCAAAGATGGCTTCTAGACATTCAAAGCCAGCAATAGATAGCTCCACTGGCTGGGCTTTGGGTGATTCTCCGCTAATATTGCTTGGAATGCCGCCTACGATTAAGGTCAACAGAATGATGAGCTGTTTGCCCAACGCGGGTGACAGATTTCTCCGCCATCCTTTGGTGACAAGAATCTTCAAGCAATTGACAGCCAGCTCAAGCAAGTTCGCTGGAGCTCTTTTGGTCTCATTGAAAATGTGAGATAGAGGAAAGAATGCATATTCGGCTAGTTTGGCGTCTAGCGCATTCTTATTGGCGAGGTCGTTCAGGACATTATATACTGGATTGAGTACTCGGTACACATCATTGGCAGTTGCTTGTTGACCTCGAAATTTGAGGCCAACGGAGCTCAGTTCGACACATGGCCCACGAAGCTGTTCTTCATTAGTTTGATATTGTAGGGCACGGGTTGGCGAGAAGCACCTTTTTGAAAGACTCCTGGGAATTCTCCATCGGATGCACTTATATGCAGTACAGATGGTCACATTAATGGAGGAAAATTGCCATTAAAGGATATCCTCGAGAACAGTTGGTAGAAATTTGAATTAAGGATTAGCGGCCGTCAGAAATAGGAAATCCGTGTCAGTTGCCAAAGACCTAGATGTTCCACGATAAGAATCGGCTCTGTAGACCACGACGTCACCGCCCGGAGTAGCTGTATTTTCTGCCGGATATGTGTACGGGCGGTATACACAACCATCTATAGTCCACTAAGTCTCCAGTATCTTCGTGTTTCCTAAAGAACGTGAACGAGTGGTTGCTTATGCTATGGCTGTATGCTCTACAGACTAGAGCGTCTATGTTCAACGCAGCAATCTTCTCGTCAAAGCAATGAAATATATGAGAACTCGAGGGTAGGCTGGCTGCATCAATCTCGCCAGCAATATGCAGCACCACTGGATTGCTTGAGAAAACAGCAGCAATCTAGGTCCGGTCAAAAGCCAATCCCTGCGATGGGACCTACGAGTGCAGGAATTGTACTCCATAAAGCTCAAGAAATACGGCTCACTGGGAGAGTAGATGAGATTGCACGGGTGATAAGATAAGACCGTATCTTATCAATGATGATCGAGATGGCAGAATAGGCAGGCGGTGGCGATGGCTGCCTAATCCCGTGACCGGCTTTAATTGATCGCGCGTCACGTTCCCACAGCTCCGTCGCGTCCGAGAAGGAGTTGCTGCCTTGACTAGACTAGACAATCGTCGACCATTGCCAGCCTTGTCTTTCCTCTTGGATGCCTGATATGGAGCTATAGATTGAGATTATTTATAGGACCCCATCTATGCCCTTTCGCCGTGGTTCCATAGTTCCCACGTCTCTACTACACGGCGCGCGGAAACTTCCTACCACCCGTTATACTAACCAGCAACGCGTTTTCAATTCCGCCGCTCTGATTCCTCGTACACAGCTCGCATTACTGTCACGAAGAGGACGTTCTGCATTGGACGATCTTCGTTCATTACCCATCACAACCATGGCCGAAAATAAGGGCCGCAAACAAGCTACATTGGGGTATGCTCGGGACCCCCAGCTGACTCTCGGGTGCGTCGATATATGATCTATATAAGACTGTCACCTGGGTTGTTATATAGGACAAATGTGTGCTAATACTTTCTGCGATATAGGAGGTTCTTTGGTTCCAATGCCGATGGGCCCAAAGATGCCCCCAAGAAGCAATCTACTCTGTCTTTCGGAGGGAAAGGCAAATCGCAGAAGGACATAGCCGACGCTGAAAACCAATCGCCCGAGGATAAGCAGCACGACGATGACGTGGAGATGAAGGACTCGGACAGTTCGAAACCGAGTGCATCGTCAGCACCCGAAGACGACAATGCGCCAAAAGATGAACAGGAGGTGAAGGAGGAAAGCGACGAGGAGGATGTTCAACCTGCGCCAAAGAGACGACGCAAGAGCCCGGACGCTGGAGCTCAGACTTCCCGAAAGAACAAAGCCCCGTCGCCGAAGAAATCCAAGACTGCCGCAGCCCCGGTTAAGGCGAGCCCGCCGTCCCCGGTCAAGAAGGAAGCCGTACCAGAGATCGAGAGCGATAAATCCGAACAAGAAGAGGCTCTATCTGCGGCTGAGGAGGAAGAGGATGACAAACCCGAACTGATGAAGAAGACAATCGAAAAAGTACAAGAGACTTTGAAAGCGACTGGACAAGAGCCTTATCCGGATTGGAAACCTGGCGCGCCTGTCCCGTATGCGGCGCTTTGCACAACCTTCTCCCTCATTGAGATGACTACGAAACGTCTAATCATCCTGGCTCATTGCTCGCTGTTCCTCCGACAAGTTCTTCGCCTGACACCCCAAGATCTGCTCCCGACGGTTCAACTCATGATCAATAAACTAGCTGCGGATTATGCCGGAATTGAGCTGGGAATTGGCGAGTCATTGATCATGAAAGCTATCGGTGAGAGCACCGGGCGAAGCTTGGCTGTGATCAAGACCGACCAGCATGAGATTGGTGATTTGGGGTTGGTGGCTGCCAAGAGTCGATCGAACCAGCCGACCATGTTCAAACCGAAGGCTCTGACGGTCAGGGGTGTGCACGAAGGTCTCCTGACCATCGCCAAAACCGGAGGACATGGTTCCCAAGAGAAGAAGGTGTCCGGAATCAAAAAGCTTCTTTCTGCCGCGGACGCGGAAAGCGCTGGAAAGGGCAGCAAGGGCATTGATATCACAAAGGATAAGGGTGGGCCCAGTGAGGCAAAGTTTATTGTCCGGTTTCTTGAAGGGAAATTGAGACTTGGACTGGCGGAGAGGACCGTTCTAGTCGCGCTTGCTCAGGCGGTGGTAGCACATGAGGCGGCCGTCAACGGCGAAAAGAGCCCTTCGGCTGAAAAGATTACTGAGGGGGAAGCGATCCTGAAAACGGTATACAGCGAATTGCCTGCATACGAGGTTATCATCCCCGCTATTCTTGAACATGGTTTGGCCAATTTGGGTAAGGTTTGCAAGTTGCAGCCTGGTATCCCCATCAAACCCATGCTCGCGAAGCCGACCAAGTCTATTACCGAAGTGCTCGATCGCTTCGAAGGGAAAGACTTCACGTGCGAATACAAGTACGATGGCGAACGAGCCCAGATTCACTACGTTGCCCCTGAGGCCGTGCAACACTACCCAGGTGCGACGGCCACTCTTCAGAAGGATAGCAAAGGGCTCAGTGCCATCTTCTCCCGAAACTCGGAAGACTTGTCGAAAAAGTACCCTGACGTGCTGGAGAAACTTAATGCTTGGATCAAGGGCGGGGTCAAGAGTTTTGTGCTGGACTGCGAAACGGTTGCCTGGGACACGGTCAATAAAAAGGTCCTCCCATTCCAGCAGCTGATGACTCGAAAGCGAAAGGATGTCAAGGCGGAGGACGTCAAGGTCAAAGTGTGCGTCTTTGCATTTGACCTCCTGTTCCTTAATGGAGAGGTAAGATAATACGCCCCCACCCTTTAGTTCTCTCTACCCCATTGATAGTTGCTGACTTGAATCCCCAACAGCCGACAGTGAAGAAGTCCCTACGGGAGCGTCGAGAGCTCCTACACGAGTCATTCAACATCATGGAAGGAGAATTCCAATTCGCGCAATACGGCAACACAAGCTCCGTCGACGAGATCCAAACCCTCCTCGACGAAAGCGTCAAAGCCTCCTGCGAAGGCCTCATGGTAAAAATGCTAGACACAGAAGAAAGCGGCTACGAGCCCAGCAAACGAAGCCGAAACTGGCTCAAGGTCAAAAAAGACTACCTCGCCGGCGTAGGCGACTCCCTCGACCTAGTCGTCCTGGGCGCCTACCACGGACGAGGAAAACGCACCTCCGTCTACGGCGCATTCCTCCTCGCCGCCTACAACACCAACACCCAGACCTACGAAACAATCTGCAACATCGGCACGGGCTTCTCCGAAGCCGCCCTCGAAGAAATCTACAAGGCCCTCTCCCCGCTCGTCATCGACCGCCCAAAGCCATTCTACTCGCACTCCACCGTCCCCAAGGACCAGCCCGACGTGTGGCTCGAGCCGCGCTTCGTATGGGAAGTCAAAACAGCAGACCTGACCCTCAGCCCGCGGTACCAAGCCGCAGCGGACGAATTCGTCGGCACAACCGGCGGAGGAAAGGGCGTCTCGCTTCGCTTCCCGCGGTTCATCAAAGCCCGCGATGACAAGAAGCCCGACGAGGCGACTTCCACGCGAGCGGTGGCGGAGATGTATCGGAAGCAGGAGGCCGTGCTGAAGGAGAACGCGGGGAAGAAGGGTGTGGATGATGATTTTGAATATTAATTTCATCTATCCCCCCTGTGTCTTTTTCTATACATCTTTGGCAAGCCAGGTTTGGCTGTTTGTCCATAGATTTCGTTTCATGCCATGTTGGTATGGAACCTTGTATGCACTGGATACGGGCGTTTTGATCGTGTACTATTTCTTTTCTCGCATGGCGATGTTTTACCTACCTACCTACCTACCTACCTACTGATATTCCCAAATGAACAAGCATATAATATTCTTGACGAACGTTCATTCCACATATAAGTTGTAGTCATAGTCCCCAAAACAAAACCAACAAACCACCCTGTTACCACTGGGGATTGATCTAGTATACACACATAGCTACCATTCAACAAATACACTACAGCCAGGTCGATTACGACAATCCTCTCGTTGAGTATGAAGAGCCCCGGTACATGATATCTCAGGATTCACATCTTAGCGTTAGCGCGGCCAACAGATACGCATATGCATGCACATGGACGACGTTCTCGAATCGACATTGACGGCTGCTGTCCATGCTCGCCTGCTATTCATGCTCGTCGTATATCATGCATGCTGCTGCTGTACGGTACACTAGCGAGGAATCCCTGCTTTGGCGCATAGTCTCCTATTGCAAATTGCGAAAACGGCATTCCCTTCTCCAATGGAGGGTTGGTTATGGATGAGGGCCTTCTGGTGTAGAGGGCGAGTTTGTTCGAGGTACTGCTACCATGGTATCATTGGAATGATAGAGCACAGCTCTTGTGATACTTTTGACTCCTTGCTGTTCAGTCAGGAAAATAATGATCATCGCCAAAACAAGACAACACTGCAGACACTAATATCATAACTCTCCACCCCCCAACAAACGCTCACTATCCACCCCACCCTGTCGACCAACGTCAGAAACAAACCCGGACTGTCGAAGCCGTAGACCAAAGTTAACCAGAATGACCACGACCAGTCCGACCCCCACGACGGTGGGTCCCCATTTCTCGTAGTACACTCTCTTCACGTCGCGGCGCTTGCGGATCTTGTCGACGCGCCAGATGTACAGCACGAGGCTGTAGACGAGGGACATGGCGGCTAGGATTGTGAAGGCCCAGGAGCAGCCGAATGTGATGTAGTCGTCGCCGAAGTTGAGGAGGGTTGCTGCGATTGTGGCTAGGAGGATGGAGAATTCGAGCCAGGAGAGGAAGGTTCGTTCGGCGGCGAAGTAGACTTTGGGTTCGACGCGGACGGGGACGTGGATACCTAAGCCTTGTTAGAAACGTGGAATAAGAGTGCATGCTGATTGGAGTGGATACTTACGTTTGCCCTTTGGCGCCACGAATCGTTTGACACTGCGCTGGTTTCCTATCACGGAGATACCTGAGGTTTCCGGGGGAGGTAAGGTCGTCGGTCTCGGCCGTGGCGTGAGAGCATGGAGCGTGTTCACCAAAGCATGTCCCACGCGGTGAGTATAGTGTTTGAACAGCTGTTTGTAGTAGTACGTCCCGCCCACCCGACGAGCTTCTTCCAGCTCATCGGAGTCTACAGACTCTTCATCGGAATCGTACAACGGATAGTCTTCATCCCCCGGCAGAGGCTGAGCAGCGATGCGCTCCTCAATATCCAAAGCGTTCCCGCCCGCGCCCGCAAAGAGAACATTTGGGGGACTTTGGTCTACCGCTGGCGCTTCGCGGGCCTGTCCATTCGTCGTGTCCTGTCGCGCATCCAAGTCGTCATCGTCCGACTCATCATCCTCCTGGGTTTCATTTGCCGATAACGAAGTACTTGCCAAGGGCCGTTGAATACCAAAGCGACGGTTGGTGGGTTTCCGGATATCCACATCCATCTGCGGCATCCAGAATGGAAGTAGATTGATAAGGTCGGGGAACAAGGTCGCCGTTCCGTGGATGAATTTGCTGTATTTGGGCACGGCTTCGACGAGATGGCTGGCGGTCAAATCTCTAATCCACGTGGGCGGTTCCTGCCCAGCCTGAGTTTGAAGCTTGACCTCGAGCACAGCGTAAGGGAATCGCTCGATATCTTCCGGGGGCAGCTGGGAGAAGGGAAAATCGACGCCAATATCCATGCGACGCCAGTTGTCTCCCGCTCTCCGACGGCCCAAGTTATCTTCTCGGATCATGGAAAGCTCGGTGTCGAGCGAGATGCGGACTCTAGCATCTCCAGGAAGCTGGAAGGCCGTGCGATGGTAGAAGGTCCTGTTGACAGGCTTCAACCGCCGGGTGATCACGCGATATTGGATCTCTCGGGCCAATTGCTCCAGGTCGTCGATCTCGCTTTCGCTCTTCTTGCCCTCCCTTCGCATTTTATCGAAGATGCTCTCGACGGTTATGCGACCCGCCAGATACGCATTCACGTACTTCTCCTTCAGGCTGAAACGCGCCTTGACCGACTTCTCTCCGGTCCAATCCTCGCGATGCGTCTTGCGCTCGACGAATATCTGATCGCTTTCCATGCCACCGTACCAACGTAACCGGATCGCTTCCGCGCCTTCTGTTTTCTTCAAGCGCCCCATGTACAATTCCCACGTGTCTGGGTTATCGAAGTAGACGGATGAGATGGCGGTGTCTTTCTCCTCGAATTCTTTGCGGGAATTGAAGACGAGAACAGGAAGGTGCTGTTTTTTTTGTCAGATTTGCCTGGTTCATACAGTAGAAAACATACATACCTTCAAGATAATAAGTTTGAGCTCCGTGATATTATCAGGGTGCACCCAGTACTTGGTCGTCTGACGGACGAAGTTCTGTTGCGTGCCACCCGCAGACGAGTCACCTTTGACGGGCTTGCCTTTCGTCCGGACGAGGTCGTATAGTTTGGAGAGCTTGATAACAAAGGCATCATAGTTATCTTTGAAGAACGGCTTCGCATTGAGGCGCGCCGCGAAGACGGGCTTAAGATGCCAGCCAGTTCCTTTCTAAAAGACATTAGCTTTTTTCTTTTGTCTTCCCTTTCAATAGCACAAATAAAGAAGACACATACATCATGCTTCTTGATAATCTTCTGAAACCCCGTATAGTTCAATTGTGTGAACTTGGCCAAATCATGCACATCAGCAATGATGTCACTCAGCATCTGCTCCAGGAGCCAAAAATCCTCATCGGAAGGCGCGCCGCCGCCGCCGCCGCCCGCACGGACGGAGCTCCCTCTCCGCGACGAGTCCGAGGCCCGATCAAGCCGGGCCACAACGGAGGAAACCTCCTGCTCGCTGGCCTGAATGCGGCGGACGATCTCCTCGCTCTTGACCTTCTGGAAGTTGAAGACCTTGTCGAGCTCGCTCTCGAGCAGACCCACGAAGTTCTTCTCGTCGTCTTCCGTCCAGGGCTTGCGGTCGGGTTTGGGGCATTCGGGGGTCGGCTCGGTGACGTATTCGGTTTTGAGGGCTTTCTTGAGGTCGTCGTAGGCGATGTAGTACCAGTAGAATTCCTTGATGATGGAGGAGCGGAGGTGTTCGCCGAACCTGGGGGACAAACTTGTTTAGTAACGGATGGTGGTGCGGGCGGGCATGTGAGATGGGGAGGGAGAGCTTACTTCATGATGGCGGACTAGGGACGCTGGTCCCTGCGTGTTAGAGAGATATGATTTCTGGATGTGAGAGTATCGTTAAGGTCGAGGTGTGTTAAGAATGAAATTGACAGAGAAAGCAGTCTTATCGAGCTAGACGGGGCATGGTGAGGAGACGCGAATGAAGAATTGGAGGAGGGGAAGAGAAAGAAAGCGATGAAGGAAGTGCGCGCAAGCTCGACTTTTGGTGGAAACCAGTGGAGAATAGTAGTAAATCCCAAGTCCCTAGTGCAGGTAGACGAAAAGGTTGATGAGCAAAGCACTCCCCGACTGAAGAACGGCTCCAGATGACTGCGGAACAAGTGGGTAAAGAGCGAAAAAGAGTGGCTCCTGCAGGTATATGGACCATGGTGGAGATCATGATACCTCGATAGTTACAGCGAGTACTTGCATTTGGGTGCGTCCTTCACCGCAAATCAAGTACCATTGCTGGTATTTCTGATACCTCGTCTTACCAGAGTGTTCGTTACTCCCATTCGGTTGATAGATACAGAGCACTTTCTCAACCATCTGAGTAAAACTTGAAGCACAGACAGATTTAGTAGACACAATATCCATGGCGGATCCCAGTCATGGAGCTCTTGGCCCCAATTCCACCGACTCGGCCGGCGTCTCTCAGCCAGTCAGTCGTGCATGCGCCCGCTAGGGAAACCTCTTGGATGACGCCATTCCCGGTCGGGTTCGGGCGGTGGTATTGTATTGTCGGTAATATACGGTATCTAATGTATTTGACTGTCCCGATGGATACGCTGGATTTAGAGTTATCTTATACACCAAGATTGAACTTAATCGATCTACTATTCAGTATATACATGTTAGACTTGGGATTCTTCAAAGTGATTCAATTTTATATCACTTCGTCCATATCAAATAATACAAATGTCCAGCTGGTTCTGCCTCCTGCCAATCCGTCAGCTTACGTTTAAATTGACAATGATCCAGGGGTTGTGCAGCATACCCTTGCGCTGGGATCGACGATGCGTCAAGGAGGCGCCCGCCGGGAGAGACCAGGATTGGGCGCTGCCTGCCCTGAGACACACGCCAGAGAGTCACGTGTGGCGCCGGAACACCTCCCGTCTACGGATGCATCATCGCAAGGCAAGGTCTCCTACAGAGCTACTGGTGGTGTCTCAGCCTTTCAAGCCCAGACCCTGACATCCAAGTGAGAGATCAATCAATCCCATTTACTTCTAAAAAAAATCAACACTTCGATACACCCCGAACCAAGATCCAAGTTATGTTTGATATTAATGTAGTCCGTTTCATCGTGGTCTCGTCACCAGGCGATCGCAGGCCATTCTTACTGAAGGGTAATCCCAACCCGTCGGATGCTCCGCCGTGCCCCTTCGCCCAGCACGTGGACGGCGCCTTCGGACTCCAGCGCCCGCACCGCGTCGGTGAACAGGCCGCCGTCTAGCCCGTCGCTCTTCTCGTTGAGAACGCGGTACAGGTCCGCCCAGCGAGCCGTGCCGCCGCTGCCCACTTCGTCGATCATCCCCATGATGCCGCGCTTGAGGGCTTCCTTGTTGCGCCGCTCGCTGGCACTCGTGCCCTCCGTCAGCAGACCCATGTCGATCAGGCCTGTCCGGGAGTCCGTGGCTGACGCCTTGATGGCCGACCGGATCAGACGGACGGCTTCCTCCACGTCGTCGGCGGTCACCTCGGGGGACAGTCTCATGCGGGCGTGCGCCTCGGACAGTCGGATCATCGATTCCAGCTGGCGGGTTGTGGCGGTGATGCGACGGTCGGCTGACCGGATGTCGTCGCCGAGTCGACGCATGCTCACGTAGGCGTCGGAGAGGGCGCTTCCCGCGGCGGGGGTAAGTTTGGGGTGAATGTTGGCTTTGGCGTACGTGATGTAGGCGGTGAGGAACTCAATGGGCTGTTTATTTCAGTCAGCAAATGGGCTTGGGATGCGTTGCGGGGAACAGGGAAGATACTTACCAGGATCTCTTCCTCGCTGGCATTCTCGGGTCGGTCCTCCAGATACATGTTGACCAAGTGCTTGGCCAACCGGCGGTCTTCTTGCTCGTTCACGCGGTCCAGGACCAGGTACACCAGGTCGAAACGCGACAGGAGCGTGGGCGGCAGGTCGATGTTCTGCGGCACCGGAAGACTCTGGTTGTATTTGCTGCCAATCGGGTTCGCGGAGGCCAGGATGCTGGTCCGGGCGTTCAGCGTCGTGATGATACCGGCCTTGGCGACGGAAACGGTCTGCTGCTCCATCACTTCGTGGAGAACCGACCGGGTCGATTCGTTCATCTTGTCGAACTCGTCGATACAGCAGATGCCACCATCCGAGAGCACCAGGGCACCGGATTCCAGCACCATCTGGCGCGTTTCCGGATCACGCGTCACGTAGGCCGTAAGACCAACGGCGGAGGAACCCTTACCGCTGGTATAAACACCTCGAGGCGCGATCTTGTGGACGTAGCGGAGAAGCTGGGACTTGGAGGTGGAGGGATCACCGCACAGGAGGATGTTGATATCTCCGCGGTATCGCGGGCTCCCGCCCTTCTCAAAGGACTTGTTGGTGCCACCGAACATCTGCAAGAGGATACCCTTCTTCACGTCGTCCATCTCGTAGATGCTCGGAGCCACGGAGCGCGCCAGGAGTTCGTAGACGTCGGGACGGGTGGAGGTCCGCTTGATCCTTTCTTCCTCCTCGGCGGAGATCTTGCGAGTCTGTTCGGAATCTCCGGCGGTCTGCTCCGACAGTTCCTGCTCAATGGTCGAGACGTCGACGCCCAGCTTCTTGCGGTCGGTCTTGAGAACATGCAGCACGTCGACGTAGGTCTTGAAGAGGGCTCGCTGGGTCCGCTGGCGAGGATTCACGCGCACCGGGTTGCACCGGAAGATGCCGGTGACCTCGACTCGGTCACCCGCTTTGCAGATATCCACCAGCTCGTCGTACACACAGAGCGAAACCGAGTGAGGGGTCTGGCCGTCCGGAACGCTATCGGGTGTCTCCTGTAGCTTGATGACCTGTTTGTCGGCGAATGTGCAGCGGTTGTGGACGATCTGCATGGAGTTCTTCTCCTGGCAGACTTGCCGAGGGCAGACGGTGGGCTCCGCGATCTTTCCACGGTCAATGTCCACCTGGACCGAGTGATTGCACATCTGGCAACGGAAAAAGGCTGTACGGCATTAGTCGCGCCCTGTCTACAAGGAGTGCTGGAGTGCTGTACAACATACCTTCTTTCATGTCGGGAATAATAGGAGTGGCTCGAATGACCAAGCCCTTGATGCTGACCAATTTGTCCATGTCTGTCCTCGATATTAGCATAACCATCGGGGCGTCTCCGGAAAGGCGTATGACATACCAGCGGGATCAAGCTCTCGCATATTCACGGTGGAGTCGAGACCGAATGGCAAGACCTTGAAGGCCTTGGTCTCGACTTCTCCCACCAAATCGGGAATCTCGGTCTGAGGCATCCGGCCCGTCTCGCTCAGCGCATCGGAGCTGGGTGCGGGAGGAGCCGAGCTCAGGTCTCGAGAATGGTTCTGATTGCGCTGGGAATGAGTCCTCAGACGTTCCACCTCCTTGATCGCTAGCTCCACCATGACGTCTTTCACGGTCTGATCCATCAGGGGAATGATTTCCTGGGGGTAGGCATGCAGCTGGTGCCACAGCTTGAGGGTTGACGGGTAGGCCTTGAGGTTCCGCGCGTCCAAGTTCATGCTGGTGACACCCAGTTGGCGCATCACGTTCAGCATGTTGATGTACTCCTTCACCTCGGCCGCATCGCCCATACGGCGAGTCTCGTCATCACTGGCCCCATCCCCCCACAGTCGATATTTAGTGGCGAAGTTGTATAGGAAGCTTTTGAATGCCGACATAGAGTCCTGGATCGAGATATTCGTACCCCAGATTACACGGGTGGAGCTGCCACCGAGGGCTTCAGCCTCCGAGGTGTCCGGGTGAATGTTGGAGAACGTCGCGTCGGACTGGGGCTCGTCAGTGCCGGCCGGCATGCCGTTAGCATCGACGAACACTCTGCGTCGACGACTGGGGGTAGACCCGAAGCCACCCGAGTCAAGATCATTGCGGCGGGGCGCGGTGCGCTGGCCACCGGTTGCGGAGCGGGACGACACAAACAGGCCGCTGCTGCTGCTGGGGATATCAGATCGTCCCACTGGACGGCTGTGTGCACGCGTGGGGCTGGAGCTCGACATGTATCGAATGGGCGACGAATCTGTCCGGCGGTTAGTGATCAGGGGCCATGTCAGGATCTTTATCTTATATACCTCTCATCGCCTGTCCATTCCCCCGTGGTGTGGTCTCCCCGTCATTCATCGACGAGGGCGCTCGCACTGGTGAGCTCGGTTCATCCATCCTGGCGTCCGGGGTCTGAGCAGCACTGCTGTTTGCTTTCGACGGCGAGGACTGGAAGAACATGGGAGACGACGACGGCACGGCGGCTTCACCCCTGATGCGTCTCGAAGCGCGAGGGGTTGTCTGCAACTGGTCATCTCCCCCGGGAGTCGGACTGCTGGTCTGGGGTTGCTGGCGAGAACGAGTTGAGCGGGCAGGAGAATCGGTGGCCGAGTCCCTCGTTGGGCGACCCCTTCGACGGGAGGAGGCCGGCGAAGACATGGCGAGTCGGTCCTAAAGGACGAATTGCTGCTCGGACTGTTTTTTAAGACTGACAAATAAATTCGTGAGAAACTTGGTGGGGGTATAGGAAATCAAGGAAGCAAAGGGGTGGTGGGATGGAAGGGAGTGCAGCCAAGGGACGAGTTGACGTTGGAATGGAGATTGAGATTGATCGATTGTGGCTCATTCTCCGCCTCAGTAATTTTTCATGCTGGAGCTCGACGCGTGACACGCGACCCAGACCGCCGAGGACGCGTTAAGTGGTTTCCTCTTTGGGACGACGCGATGGTCCACGAAGCACGTGATGCCGATTATTAGCTTATGTAAGCGTCTTCCGCCTTTCCTGCACCGCCTCCATGTGGCGTCCAATCAGCACTCGATTCGTGGATCAGGCATCCATGGTTCAGGCCGAGTTTTCCCCTGTTTATTTGGCCTGATTAGGCAGGCATCGACGAACCATCAAAGAGAAACCCCCGGGGTATGGAGGACTTCATCCTGGCAGACATGAAACCCCATGGCTCTACTGGATGTGGTTCAGGATAGATTCTCAAAGTACGAATCTACTTGTTACCCTGGGGTGATCACGTAGCGAGGGGACGTCCAATGCTGATCCTTCTTTTAAGTTTACCGCCGATCTGGCTGTGCATTTGTAGTTTCCTCTCCGTACTAGAAAGCCTCTTAACGATCTGACGAGGTTCAATATATATTGAAACCATCTGAGACACGATCGGTTATCCGAGAGGCGTCCCCGGATTCACTTGATTGTAGAAGACAAATTGGGTTTATTGTTTCAGATCCATGCTGTGTGGTATAGATTGGCCTCGGGAGGTCTCTCTCATGTGTATTCCGTAGTCTGGATGGTCAATGTGGGAATTCTTCTTTCTATATTGTAGCGATTGGTATTTGAGATAATCTGATCTCTATCTGTCTTGTACTGCATCCAGATCAAAAATATAAGACCTGTCAGTCCATCTCAGTCTATAATAGGGGATCCTTCCCCTTACTACTATATCTCATGGTCGGACATCCCTACTTTGTGGTTCAGGATTCGTGAGAGAGCGCCAACGTCTCGTCTCACATATGCAGCTGCTCGTTTCCATTGATCCATGACCTTGCTTAGCTAGAAGCCCAAACAAAGCGGGGTCCCAACGGTCCAATTGTTTCTCGATCGATCCAGGAACGAAGTAACCCAAGAGAAAAACACGAGGGACCAGGAGGCTAAACCCGAAGGGGAACAGAACAATCAGGGACCGGTTGTGGTAATATGTTGACTCCCCACAAACAGGAAATACTCGGGACAATCAAATATGATCTTGGAGGTCACAAAGACAAGCTCGCTATAATTAACCAACAAAGGTGCGACCTCTCGATTAGCGCCCCGAAATCCTACACAAAGGATCACAGGAAAATCAAAAAAATATCAGGGACGACCACCCTTGAGCCAAAAGGGTTTAAGCAAGCGCCAACCGTCTAGTTTCAGCAGGCGCTTGATGTCATTCCGAGCCCAATTGGAACGATCATCCCCTTTTCCCTGAACCACCAGGTTACCCAACCCTTTTCCACAAATAACGGCGCTTCTTCACATTAGACTTGGCATCATCCCGGGTTCTGAATGGTTGAAAGGACTTAATAGTTGGTGCCACTGCTGTCATGTCCTTTGTTGATAACCCTTCCTTTTACCCTTTGTAGTGGCGTGGTGATTTGTCTCTTCTTAGGCTTCTCTATTCTTTTCCTTCCTTTTCTCCGTCTTTTTTCTTCTTCTTTGCCTTTCTATCTCAGTTCCTTTTCCTTTCTGGAAATTTACCCACTTCCGCGCTCCTGGTTACTCGATTACTTCAGGGTGACGCTGCCTGTGTTGCCGAATCGATCGCCCCAACTTTTTTTGTCCTTCTGCCCTTCCACTATTGAAATCGGCCCAACCCTCTCACCGCGTGATGCATGGTCTCACCTCCCTTACTTGTATCTGGGTGTAGGACTTGGTCTTCTCTAATCCGACTGTCTCCGTCACCCGCTTGAGTCCGCCCCCGTGGGGACTGCCTCTGCAATCACCATGTCGAACATGTCGAACATCTCGAAGGACCTGGGTTCCGCCCTGGAGGAGGCAGGCCATACCGGTCAGAAAAGCGCGGGAGTCTCGATCAACACCTTCCTCGCGTCGTTAGCGACGGCGATCGTTGTCTTTGCCGTCGAATTCATCCTATTTATGCTGCTGAAAGGAAAACTGACCCGCATCTAGTGAGTTCCTTGGTACCCTGGTGGATCTGGAAGCGGCGCAACATCGCTAACCGTGCATTGCTTCTTCATAGTCAACCCAGGACATATTTGGTCCCCGACAGAGAACGTACCGAGCCGTCCCCATCGGGGCTCTTTCGATGGGTCGTTCCCGTCTTCCGTACCTCCAGCTCCGAGTTTATCCAGAAATGCGGTCTCGACGCCTACTTCTTTCTGCGATACCTACGCATGCTTCTCAAAATCTTCCTACCTCTGGCTTTGCTGATCCTACCCATCCTTCTTCCCCTCAACAAGGTCGACGGCAAGGACCAGACGTTCAAAAATGGCACGGATAGCGGTCCACGCTGGAATGTCACGGGTATGGATCGACTCTCCTGGGGCAATGTCGCCCCGGAGCACTCCCATCGCTATTGGGGCCATCTGGTCATCGCCGTCATTGTCGTCGTCTATGTCTGTGCCGTGTTCTTCGACGAGCTGCGGGGCTATATCCGTCTACGCCAGGCTTACCTGACATCTCCTCAACACCGACTCCGTGCATCGGCGACCACGGTTCTAGTAACCGCCATCCCGGAACGCTGGCTGTCGGTGGACGCCCTCGATTCACTCTACGATGTCTTCCCCGGTGGGATCCGCAACATTTGGATCAACCGGAATTTCGATGATTTGAATGAAAAGGTGAAGGAACGGGATGCCCTGGCTTTGAGACTCGAAGCCGCTGAGACCGAACTGGTAATCAAATGCAAAAGAGCCCAGTTGAAACAGGCCAAGGCGGCGGCGAAAAAGGAGGGGAAAAGTGCGGCTGAGGTCCAGAAAAAGGAAAAAGAGGCCGCGGATCGAAAAGCATCCCGTCTCGCCATGGAGGCTGGTATCAGCTCCGGTGATCCACACCAAGCCCACACCCTCAACGAGGTCTTGCACCGTGACCAATCGTCGTCGCACGCCTCCGACGCCGGGGGCTGGAAGCGGCTGAACCCCCTCGATCCCGCCATGGCGGCCGCGGGTGCAGTTGGTCACGGGGTGGGATACCTCGGGAAATCCGTTCTTGGGGGTTCAAAAAGACTGATGGGACCTTGGGCGGCTCAGAAGGCGCCCAGGGGCGGGCTCATAGCTCCCCCCACCCTCAAGAAGGGTCGAATAATAAGGATCGGCGCAAGTCGCGCTCATGGCCGGATACAATGGCGGATGACATGGATCCGTTTCAAAACAACGAACGGGATGACCGACCCAGCACTTCGGCGACGCCGCCAAACACAAAATCCAGGCCGCCCTTGTGGAAGACCCGGCCCTCAAATCATTCGAGAGTGAGCAACAAGACGGAGCCCGATGAACTTCCCCTGACCGCCCCCGAGACACCGACGACACCGACGAACGTGGAGGAAGTATCCGGGTATGAACAGGACGAGACCTCGATGGAATCAGTGGCCCGCGAAAAGAGTCGTGCGGACGCCCAGAGCGATCGGAAAGAACGGAAAGTGTCTGAAGATGAGTACCCAGCTGCGTACAACGCGGACTTTGACAAGGAAGACTTTGGGGAGCCGGCGTGGAAGAAGTATCTGAAAGACAAGGACCGCGAGACCATGCGCCTGCCCGTATTCGGAATCAGCTGGATGCCCTCCCTCTGGCTCATGGGAAAGAAAGTGGACACCATCGACCACTGCCGAAAGGAGCTCGCTCGTCTGAATTTGGAAATCGAGATCGACCAACAGAACCCCGAAAAGTTTCCCCTGATGAACTCAGCCTTTATCCAGTTCAACCACCAGGTAGCGGCACATATGGCGTGCCAGGCCGTCAGCCACCACACGCCTAAACAGATGGCGCCCCGGATCGTGGAGATCTCGCCGGACGACGTCATCTGGGACAACATGTCACTCAGGTGGTGGGAGCGTTATCTGCGAACCTTCGGCATCCTCACACTCGTTTGCGGGATGGTCGTCGGGTGGGCGTTCCCCGTGGCGTTTACGGGATTGCTTTCGCAATTGGCCTACCTGGAGGATGCTTTCACCTGGCTCGCTTGGCTTGCCACCTTACCCAACTGGCTGGTCTCTGCCATTCAAGGTATCCTGCCTGCCCTCTTTCTCGCAATCCTGATGGCGTTGCTACCTCTCATGCTGCGTTTTCTGTGTCGCGCGCAAGGCCTTCACACCGGCATGGGTGTGGAACTCACGGTCCAGAACTACTACTTCGCGTTTATGTTTGTCCAGCTGTTCTTGGTGGTTGCGGTCTCATCCAGTTTTTCCACAATCATCAACAACGTGACCAACGTCACTTCGTGGCCGGAGCTCTTGGCTCAGAACATTCCCCTGTCCAGCAACTATTTCTTCTCGTACATGATCCTGCAGGCCATGTCGGTGAGCGCGGGTGCGCTGGTGCAGATTGTCAACCTGGTGAGCTGGTTCATCTTCGGGCCGATGTTTGACTCCACCGCCAGGACGAAGTGGGCCCGAACCACCAACTTGAACCAGATGCAGTGGGGGACCTTCTTCCCGGTCTACACGACACTCGCGTCGATTGGCCTGATCTACTGCGTCATCTCGCCCTTGATCATGGTGTTCAACGTGCTCACCTTTGGCCTGTTTTGGTTTGTCTACCGGTACAACACCCTCTACGTGACCAAATTCCGATTCGACACGGGCGGGCTGTTGTTCCCTCGGGCGATCAACCAGTTATTTACTGGGATCTACGTGATGGAAGTCGCCCTGATCGGCCTCTTCTTCCTCGTCCGCGACGTGGATGGCACCGTTGCCTGCGAGGGTCAAGCGATCTGTATGATCGTCGTTCTCGTCCTCACCATCGGATATCAGATCTTGCTGAATGAGGCCTTTGGGCCGCTGATCCGATATCTGCCCATCACGCTGGAGGATGATGCTGTTCGTCGGGATGAGGAGTTTGAGCGCGCTCAACGGACACGACTTGGGCTGGCCCGCGATGATGACGAATCGGATGTCGTCGAGCCTCGGTGGCCCTCAGAACGACAACCGAGCGGATTAACGCCCGAGATTGAAATGAAGCAGATCGAGTCCGACGCGGGCGGGGGACCAGCCAGAGAGAGGTCAGCCCGGCGCGCTTGATGCCTAGGCGCCAATCATGGGTCGATCGGTCTCCAAACCAACGATCGAAGTACTTTGGGAATAGCTCAAGTACGTCGGTCCCGACTATACAGCGTATCCAAGAAGATATGGCGGAGGATGCGGAGTCTCAAGACCCCTCTCCGCATCGAGCAGGCCGCGCGCTGTTTGCCGGAATTCAGGACGAGCTCGAAGATCTGACGCCCGACGAGCGCGATCAACTGGTCCAACGAGCCTTCCAGCACGACGCCCTCCGTGCCAAACGACCGGTGATCTGGATTCCCCGCGATGATCTGGGAGTCAGCGACGACGAGATCTACCGCACGCAACGATTCAGCAAGCATATCTGGATCAGCAACGAATACCAGGCGCTCGACGGCAAGTGCCGCACTATATTCAGCCGCAGTCCGCCAGATTTCTCCGAGGTCGATCTGATCCAGCTTTAGCGGTGGGGCTTGATAATTGTATATGATAAGACTAGACTGGGGTTCTCTTTTCTTTTCCTTTGGTGTATGTATAGAGGGAGTTGGCATGGACAGTTGAGCGAGCGGGTTGATTTTCTCTATCCCATCGACTTGCATTGCAGAAACCCGAGCGGCAGGATCCCTTGGTTGATTGCATATACGGCGTTTTAGTATTTATCTACGGTGATGGACGGAGGCCGGACTACACATAGAACAAGCCCCATGGCAGTATTCTATCGTTTTCCCAGCGTGTAGTATGTTTGAATAGACTGTACCCATGTCAATGTTGCATGGGTCAACACAAGGTGACACTGTATGTCTAGTGTCAAGTCCAATTCAGTCCATTGTCAAGACATGAAGTATCATAACCATATATGTACTAATCCATATACTTACACAACGGCAAGCGATAATTATCCACCATCCAATACGCCCTGCGCACGCCACTCCACTCACCCTCCAACTTGGGCACCTCAATCTCCTCCCACTCGACATCAAAGCCCGCCTCAAACAGATCCATCTCCACCACCTTCTGATAAACATCATAACTAATCTGCCGATCCGCCCCCATCCCATTAAAGAAACTCCACCGTCCCTCCTGCTCCAGCAACCCAATCACCTGCTCCGTGAAAAACTCCCGGAAATCCCCATACGACTCCGCAAACGTATCGTAGTACACCGCGTCGAACATCTCCCCCTCCGCCACCAACGCCGGCAACACATCCTGCCACCGGCCCTCGTGGATGCGCACCCCAGGCTTCTGGTGCCACCCGCGCCGCTTCATCTCGGCGACCACGTCCGCGTGCGCCTCGATGATGTGGTGCTCGGCCGGCTGGCGGTCCTGCAGGAACTGGTCCACGATGCCCATGCCGTGGCCCACGTTGAGGACCCGCAGTCCGGGCGTAGGAGCAGCTTCGCGGCGCTCTTCTTCATGATGTCGCTCTCCCACGCCATCATTACCCCGTTGCGGTCGGCGTCGATCAGTCGGTCGTTCTGGAAGGTGAGGTTCGAGTCGAGGTAGCGCGCTTGCGTCACGTCTGCGTCTGCCTCCACCAACTGCGGCGCTTCTTCGTCCTGTGCTGGCGCAGCCGACTCCGTGTCTGCAACACCCTCCTCTTGCTCATCCTCCTCAACCTCCTCCTCAATCTCCTCATACCCATCCAACCGATTCAGCAACAACTCCGCCCGAACCCCCGCATCAACAACCATCTCATACGCCTCAGTCAACCCCAACCTCCTCGCCACACACCCAGGCGTCTCGCCATTCAAATCCAGATCATTCCAGATAGCACCCTCCTGCAAAAGGAACTTGACCGTCTCTGCCGCGGACTCGGCCGCGCTTTTCTTCTCTTTCTCCGCTTGTTCGCTAGCGCCGTTCACTGCCTCGTCTTCATCGTCGTCGGGCTCACAGGCGGAAATGGCAGCGTGGAGCGGGGAGAATCCTGTCTCTGGGTCCTTGACGTTGGCGGGGTTGGCGACGCCGGCTGTGAGGCGGATTAGACGGCGGAGTTTGGGGATGTCGTGTTGGGAGGCTGCGAGGAGGATTTCTTGGATGTCGAGGTCGACGTCGATGGTGGTTGTTGGGTCGGTCATTTTTCCGTTTTTTTTTTTTTGTATGTGATATCGTTGTCTTTTCTTTGTTGTTTGTTGTTTGTGGTTTGGTGCTTGCTGCTGTGGTTCGGTTGGTGATTAGAAAATTTGAATCTTGGGTAGTAGATAAGTCTGTAGGAAGGTGGGGTAGGAAGTGGTGGGTTTTCTTTCTCTAGACCAAGAAGGATTTAAAGGAACTGACCTGTTTCGTCCAGTAATGGCTACTAACTATAGCTGTAGTATACCACCGCTCAGAAGTAGAACAGTTCAAGTCTTAAAGTTTGAAGTGGAGTGAGAGCGATATAAAATTTCCGCCGCCGCTTTCGTCCCCGCAGCTCCGCCCGCAATCACCGCACTCCGTCAGCCAACTCCTACAATAATAGATAAAACTGTCAAAACGCATGTATTTTGATGTCGACTTAGAGAAGAGAAACATTTCGCCGATTGCTCGATAATCCTGAAGACAACTATTTGTACAAAAGACCCGGGTCCTTCCTGGACCGCCCACGAGGCGGCTTCAATTGCGCCTGTATCACGCAGATTGCTGCTCAATTAAAATTCATTCCCCCAGCCCCAGGGACCAGCTTCGCCGCTTCCAACTATAAACTAGACTCGTTGGTAATCTGCGTTTATCGCGTGTCCTCCGCTCCGGCGTTCACGTTCAACCCCAAACCTTGCGAGTCCAGGTACATCTTGTTCTTGCCGCCGTTCTCTTGCAAGATCGCGGCGATGTGTCGGGCGTTCTCGATCTTCCGCAGTTCGATGTAGCTCTTGCTCTTCTTGATCGCGTCGCCGATCAGTTCCGCCGATCGGGCCTCACCCTGGGCGCGGACGATGAATGCCTGCTTCTCCTGGCGAGCCTTGTCGACCAGGAACGCAGCCCGTTGGGCCTCCTGCTGGGCGACCTGCTTGGCTTCGACAGCGGCGGTGAATTCGGGGGAGAAGGTCAGATGCTACCATTGCCGACAAGTCAGTATATTAACACATCCCGTTCAACCTCGTATATATCACGTACCGTAAGAGACACATCGTCAAGGGCAATGTTGAAGCGAGCCGCACGGCGGGCCAGGTTGTCCCGGACGAGTCGGGCGACGTTCTCACGCTGGGTAATCAGCTGGCTGGCGTTGAACTGCGCGACAACGCTCTTGAGGACTTCGTTCACGATAGACGGGAGAACACGCTCGTCGAAGTCGTTGCCAAGGGTGCGGTAGATCTGTGGGAGAGCGTCGACACGGGGTCTGGACAGAACACGGCAGGTGATGTTGACCATCTGCAGGTCCTTGGTACCGGTCAGGGAAGCGATGTTGCGCGGCTTTGCGCGCACATCGTAGATGACGGGCGTTTCGAACCAGGGAATTCGGAAATGGGTTCCTATCAGAGTAGACAAGTCAGATACCCCTCCTTGTATTGTGATTTTCTCGGATTATCGCATACCTTCACTGTAGATCTCCTTCTTAACACCGCCTACCCTGGAGTATTTGATCGCACGGTGACCACCGTCCACTAGATTCGGACCAGTCAGTAACATTTCTTTATCGGATTGACCAAGAGTCAATCATGAACAGGGGCCCAATACCGTTGAAGAGCGAGTCCGACACGACATAAGATCCAATGCCGACCAAGGCGACAGTTCCCCAGAACTTTCCGCCGCCTTGACCACCGCCCGTGGGGAAACCACCGAAGCCTCCACCAGACCCGGTCTTCTTCAGCATCATCTGAAGCTTCTGCATCTGGTCCTTCGGAATGCGAGACATGATGATAGTGTGGGGAGGGAAAGGATGAAGATGACTGGAGCGTGGAGGAGAGACGGACGGAGGAGTGAGGAAGAGTGGAGTTGAGGTTCTCTCCGGCAATTCAGCTCATTCCCTCACCGCCTGCCGGATCGGGCGGCCGATCTAGCCTCTCTTGCGTCGGGATTCTATTCTTCGGCTTCATGCTTCGTCCATCTCTTGCTTCTGCTTTCTGCTGTTGGCGTACATTTCATATTCTTTGTTGCTTGACTGCCTGTTGAAAGGGCCGTAACTGACTGCAACCATACGAGCCTTACTCCCACCTTTTCCCCCGCGTTCTGTCCAATTCTGGTCAAACACTCCGCCGCGCTCTTTTCTCCTGCTCAACAACTAGCTGTGAATATCTGTCGGATTATCTGGCAAGATGGCTCCTGAAAGAGCTGGGAAGAGCGTGTTCCTCGGGAATATTCCGTACAGTATGTCTATCTATGAGTCACTTCCCCAGCAACCTCAACTAACCACGCAACAGATCTCACCGAGGAACAGGTCAAAGATATCCTGAGCTCTGCCGGCACGGTCACCAAATTTCGCTTGATGATGAACCCCGATACTGGAAAGCCCAAAGGATATGGATTTGCCGACTTTGCCGATGCCGACGCGGCGGCCTCCGCAGTGCGCAATTTGAACGATTACGAGATCATGGGCCGCAAAATACGCGTGGATTGGCCGCACAACAACGAGAAGGACTCTGTCCCGCCGGACTACTCTCAGCCCGCGCCGAACGTGCAGCTCCAGGGCCAAGACGGTCAATCAGGCGCGCAGCAGCAATCTGCGCCGCTGCCTCCCCTGCCACCCGGCGTGGAATTGCCCCCGCATCTGGACTGCCCGAACGCCATCTCCCAAACACTCTCCTCGCTCGCCCCCAACCAGCTTCTCGATGTCCTCTCCCAGATGAAGTCCCTGTCGATGGCGGACCCGGTTCGAGCCGCAGAGCTTCTGCGCCAGGCGCCTCAACTATCATACGCGATGTTCCAGGCTATGCTCCTAATGAACCTCGTCGACTACAGCACGCTCGGCTCAGTGGTGGAACAAGCGGCGCAACCAGCAGCGGCAGCCCCTCCTCCGGCTGCGCAGCCCTTCCAGCCCTTCTCGGCCGTTCCGGGCCAGGTCTCCACCCCCCCAATGGTCGGCACGCCTTTTGCCGCACCGGCGGCAGCCCCTGCAGCTCCATCGATGCCCGGGCAAGAAGAGCTCCTGCAGCAGGTACTTAGCATGCCGCAGGCGGCGATCGATGCGCTCCCGCCAATGGAGCGGAGTCAGATCATGGTGCTGCGGCAGCAGCTGATGCAGGGTGCCATGCGATAGTAATGTCGATTTGATGATATGATTGCGATGTCGGTACGGGGTGTTGTCATACTAATCACTTTGTTCATACTCATCTTGCTTGATTCTATCTTTTTTGTTATTTCATGGGATGGCGTTTTGGAGGCCTGATTTATTTCGCGGCTTGAATGTATACCTAGCATGGATATCTGGCACATGTTCTCAAATTGATTTGACACTTTCAATTAAATATGTCTTGCACCAAATTCAATCAAATATGCTTTCACAGGCTAGCTTGATGTAAAGTTGAAAGGTACAATCCATGACCAAGCATGAGGTATACTTAATATTGAGCTATCACTGAACACGTCCCAAAGGCCATCCATCAGCAATCAGACATTCCCAACTCTTCCATGGTCTCATAGTCGAGTAGTGAGCTCCAAGTAACTCGCATCACTGCTGTTGTATCCCATTTGAAGTGATTCGACAATTTCAGGAGATGTAGCTAGTATAAGTGATAACAACACTTGCGTCCCAAGGATCTTTCACCCTCTAGACGTACATATCAGACCATGATCCTATCCTCAACTACCAGCTACATGATTTATTAGATCCAAAGTCAATAGAGTACACCGCATTCTAGCAATCAGTCAAAGTGACCAATAACCAGTCCAAAAAAAATAGCCATCAAGAAAAGAAAGTAACAAACAAGCCCATCCACACCCATTCATTCCCATTCAAACCCCCAGCGAACTCCAAAGTCAACATACACTCTCTTCTCAAGTAACCAGCCTAGTAACCAGGTTATAACCAAGTAACCAAGTAAAACAAAACGAGCCCTACATCCAACGCCCCAAAAGAGAAGTAAAAATCACTCACCAGCGAGAAGATGACTCGCTCGCCCACTCACTTCACTACACGTCCACAACACGTCCATTCACTTGCTTTCTTCCAACTTTCTTTTAGTTTTGTCTTTTCTTTCTTTCTGGCCTGTCCTTTTTCTTGAAAATTTTTTCTTTTGGTTTTCTCCTCCTCACGTGCACGTGTTTTGGCTCTTTTGTTATCATACATCTACCCTCATATCCTCCACGTGATCACAACGTGCCCTACATCATCATCCCCATCTTGCTTTCATACTATCATACAGGCTTGATATCGTTTGACTTCTTGAATTCCATCTTGGTACATTCCTTCCACTTGAGTTCCTTTGGCCTTCTTCACAGAAAATAATAAGTCTCAAAAAACAAGGTGAACAGAGAAAGAATGCCATTCGAAGGAAGTCTCACTTCACCTGCCCCCCAACCCTCCCCTCCCCCTCCCCTCCTCCTCCTCATCCGTCTCATCCTCCTCCTCATCCTCCCCATCCCCCATCAAGCAGCCCAGAAGAAAAAGGAGAAGGCTGCAGGGCCCAGACGCGGACCCAGAAACAGCACTCGAGGGCGTCGAAACAGAGGAAGAAGAGCCCGCTTCCTCCCCCGACGAGGAGCTCCGAGCGGCCCTCATCCGCACCGAGGTCGACATCCCGAGCTGATTAGATCGAGCAGGCTGGCCACTGCGATCAGGCAGCCTCGCACGCAGCTAGCTACCAACCTGTCTCCGCTGTACAAGCTCGACGATATCTACCAAGATATCACCTCCAAGGCGCTGGTTCTGGGCCTCGGTGCTGTCTTGAAGCATCTGGGCGGTAGGGCGTTGCGGGTGGCCACTATGTGTTCTGGCACGGAGAGTCCGTTGTTGGCTATGGAGCTCGTTCAGCAGAGTATGCCTTATCCCTTCTCCTTCTTTTGATTGCCGGTAGAGTGGACCCTAACATAGCCTAGATCTCAGAAAGCACTTCGACACGACCTTCAACTTCCGCCACTTGTTCAGTGCCGAGATCGTGCCATTCAAGCAGGCGTACATCGAACGCAACTTTCACCCCAAGGTCATGTTTCGCGATGTGACCGAGTTGAGGGATCGAGTGGCGTAAGTCCTTCCCTGCTGCCCTCCCCCTCCCCCTCCTCGCTCTCCCTCTCCCTCTCGCCCCGGTCCCGGCCCCAAAACCCACCCACCCTCCCACCCCTACACAGCACCGTCACTAGCCCAGGGTGTATGTTTGTGTTAACAAAGAAGCAGACAAACGGTGTACGGGTCTTTAGAAAAAATCCCCAAGAACGCAGATCTCCTCATTGCTGGATTCGCGTGCGTGGACTTCTCAAACCTGAACAACAACCGCAAGACCCTGGACCAGAACGGTGAGTCTGGGGTACGTTTTGGGGCATCATCCGCTATGCTCGCGCCTATCGGCCGCGGATGGTCATCCTAGAGAACGTCCGCAGCGCGCCCTGGGATGCCATCAAGGAGCACTGGAATGAGATCAACTACTATAGTGTCTATTTGGGTGTAGACACCAAATCGTACTATCTTCCGCAGACCCGCGAGCGGGGATATCTTTTCTGCGTTGATAGAGAGCTCATGAAGAAGGGCAACTTTTCAGAGGGACATATGCTGAGATGGTCGGCTGTCTTTGAAGGGTTCCAGCGTCCTGCAAGCTCCCCTGCTGGGATGTTCCTCATTGATGCGGATGATAGACGCCTGGGCCAGATCGAACAAGACGTCATTGGGAAAACTTCGTGCAATCCTCGCGAATGGTCGAGGTACCAGATCAGACACCAAAGCTACCGCAACGATCAGAAGCTTGGCGATGAACGTCCGGTCAGCAAGTCGAAAGACCAAGGTATTTGTCAGATGCCTGATTTCTACTGGCATGGTTGGGCGAGGTCGTTGCCGGAGCGTGTTTGGGAAACTCTGGATATCAATTATCTTCGCAAGCTTGCTGAGTTGGAAGGATATGACATGAACTACAAGGAGTAAGTCCGCCTTCTTTGTCGTTGAAGATTTTCAAAGCCTGATTGTTATATCGCAGACGGTATCTTGAGCTCTCACAGGGTGTAGACAGAGACGGAGACTGCCGTGCTTTTGGAATCGTTGGCTGCATCACCCCCAGTGGCATTCCGTACGTCACAACTCGCGGGGACCATCTGCGGTCTTGAGGCACTTGCATTGCAAGGATTGCCCCTGGACAGGCTTTCGCTGTCGCGAGAGTCCAAGAGAGACCTGCATGGTTTGGCTGGGAACGCGATGAGCTCGACTGTCGTTGGATGCGCGATCTTAGCGGCCTTGATCGTCGGCCATGGTGTTCTCAAGAAAGGCGAGGCGGTGCCCACTCCAGAGCACACCATCCACAGGGACAAAGACCTTTCTCCTAGAGCTGAATACAGCCAGGTACCATGCTTTGTACCGGTCAACCCTGATGGAAAGATGGTATCCCCCAGCTTATTGGCACAGAGTGCGACAAGTGCTCGTTATTGCATGTGCGAAAGACAGTTCGCTACACGTCAGGCAATCTTGAGATGCACCTTGTGCGGACACACATCATGTGCAGACTGTGCAGGAAATCCATCGCATGCCTATGAGCGCTGCCCTGGCTTAGAGCGAAGCTCCCCGCTGGATTTTGCCGGTAGACTCATGAGGACCCTGCCCATGAGATTGGTGGTGTACGGTATTTCCGTTGAAGCATACTCCTGCTTCGAGCAAGAAAATCCCTCGATAGCCAGTAGAGACTGGGGAGAGTTTATGGAGGCAGTCCTCAAAACTGTCGGAGATGAGCTTCGCTTTTCTAATTCCAAACGAAGCGAGCTCTGGACAGTCTCATACGAAGGCCAACACTCGACACTCGAACTTTTGATCGGCAGCACTGGTTTGGAGTGGCTTCTGTTTGCCATGGCCCCCAGTTCCGAGCCTAGCTTGTCTTTCCTGCGCGAAGTCCTCCTTCATCCCATTGCTCGGATGACCCCCAAGCCCGGAACGCTCTTAGAGGGAGATTGGGAGATATGCAGCCCTATCAGTTCGTCAATCGAATGTGATTTCTATGGATTTGGCGACAGGGTGCCTTCGACGGAGGCCAGATGTGGACTGAAAAAAGACGAATTTGCCAATTCCGTCGTTTGGAGTGAAATTGACGTTGTAACTCTCGACGAAGATGTCAAAAATCTCGATGTTGATATCCGAGGCCTCTACAAACTGTTGCCGGATTGCGGGACCGCCAATGGATGTTTGCACAAAAGGGAAGCGTCAGGAAGCATGCCCGCCGTGTATCTTTTTCTGGACCCAACTAAGCTTGGAATCGCGCGTCACGATACCTTTGTCTTCTCTTTGGAACATCGCCGTAACGCAGGTTATTCCAAACGGCACACTCTGGCGGAGGTATCGCACAAATGGCGATCGAGAGATCTGCAGGACGACCCACAGACAGCCAATGTCTTCTATCGCAGATGGTATAAGGCGCCAGCAGTTGCTCTGCACATTTATGCCCCGATGCCCCCATTGACTGTTATCACCTGAAGCGTGGACCGTCATCTCTGTTGAAAACGCTGGCTGCATTGATGCGAATATCACGTTGGTATCTGTCACGGCACCGGCCGCGGCACTCGAATCACTATGGAGCAAAGGCCCTTGGGAAGTGCCGACCCTATGTCCTCGCCATCGCTGATGCGAGAATTTTCTTGGTTACTCCAGAAGGTATCCGGATTTCGATATTCCAGACCTGGAATGCGTCGTGCACGAAAACCAGCATAAAGGGGTCCTGAACCATGTCCTTCCTGCGTACCGCCAAAGCCTCAAATGATATGGGCCGCGATGAGCCGGGAAGGTGAAGCTTACGAGGATTTCCACGGCGCGGCCGTGTACGAACGACGTATGAAATTGAGGCCCCAGCTTTTTTGATTTTCCACTGCGTCGATGATGAAACGTTGGGCATTTCCATATCACACTCAACGTGCAGACACTTTTGCACCAGGCGTATGTCAGGCTTCTTGGGCACAATGTCGTGGAGGACGTCTCTTTCCATTGGCGCTTGTCCCCAACTATCTCGATGCACGAGAATTCGCATTCCCAAAGTTTTGTTTGGCGAACAACCGAGCGAGCGGAACGGCGAGCACCCCTCCGAATTCCGGTTAGTCTTCGCCTGAACAGCTCCTTCCTTGGGGTGGATGATAAAGCAAGAGGGTGAGAACGTGGAGCCTTTCATCGAACAGGAGATTGAGGAGTCGTTCATACCATCTCTGATGTGGCGTGCAGAGGGCAGAGTCACTACCCCAAAGTGGTCCGCGGAGGCGTGCTGGCGGACGAAGTCGGCTACGGGAAAACTGCGATCATACTTGGATTGATCGACGCCCAGCATAATGGAAGTCCGCCGCACATGTCGGAGACAGTTCCAGAACACATTCCCACCACAGCCACCCTCATCGTGGCGCCGCAATTGATGCTGCAGCAGTGGAAATCAGAGATCCATAAATTTCTTGGGAACAGGTACCGTGTCCTGGTCATTCATTCAAGCTTGGCTCTTTCGAAGCAGACTGTGGGCGACTTTCAACAGGCCGACATTATCCTGGTTTCTTGGTCCATCTTGAATAGCAGTCTGTATTTTCGAAGACTCCAACGGTTTACCGGAGTGCCCAAGATCCCCAATGGACCAGGCCGGAGATT